CTAAACAATGTTCTTCGATACCAGAAATCTAGGTATGCAAAAGTTATTGAACCCCAACCCAGATAAAAATAGTAATAAATCCAAAACAAAATTTAAGTGAAGTGTAAAAATGTAAAAATAAATTCAAAAATACGTGCTTGATATGTTGAAATTTTTAAATATTGCAAACGTAACATCAAATTTCTAGAAAAAAATGACATTCTGAAATAACTGTCAAAAGCTTTAAACATGACTAGATATTAGAGAGTGGTACTGTCGTTTTGAACTTCCCTATTCACTCTAGAGAGACATTTACCGGATACTCGATATGTGGCTAAATTTTACATCACAAATAAAAAATGTTATGCCATGTCTAAACTAATAGTGGTTTAGTCTCTACCACAAAAAAAAACGAAACAAATAACTTTTTTACTCAGTTATGTCCATTTTAAATGACACTATAGGGCTTTTCGGAAACTGTGATCGTTTTAACTTGGTCGGAGTCGGAAGAATCTTGATCGGAAAGTGAACCAGTTCATGTTAAAAAGTGTTTAAAGAAGTGTGCTATGGCACTCAAAAATAGCTGTCAGTTTTTCATGAATTAATTCATCAATTTATTCATAAAGGGTTTACTTAGTTTTACTTTGTTTTAAACGTGAATTTCTTTGAAACAAAAACAGCTACTACCAACTTTGCAAGCAAGTCATAGTAAAAAAAGACAAATTGAAAATGAATATATTTTCTAGAATAAGCTGAGATTGGTTATGTTTTTAATTAGATAACATGAAGAAATTGTAATCGTAATTGTAAATAAATAACTTAACCTCAATATTTTTGATGGTACTTCTGAACTTCATGAAGAAATTACACATGAATTAATTCATGAATAAATTCGCAATGTAAAACAGGTATTACTGATCCATTTCATCTCAAATCAGTCTCCGAAATCCCCTGTGCAAATTACATAACGTAATTATTACACAATACTCACTTTGAAATCAAAAAAGCACTGAGACAAAAAACGGTTACTAGAAATGATTGAAACTTACGTTGCTTGGGACAAATCTGCGGTCTCCCTTTTGTTTTTAGGAACAAACACTGCCACAATCACAAAATAACGCTAACACAATAACGATATGACACGTCCGAGAGTTTTTACACAAATTTTTGGTTAATTAAAGCACAAGTTATCTTTTTTTTTTCGGTCTACGACACGACGCCACGAGCTCTTACAAAACATTCAGAAAGAGATGCGCGCGCCGCTCCCATAATGCACTTGAGTGGGCAGTTACCGAAAACAAAAAAACCCGAAACGCAAGAAAATAAGAAAACACTGGCATCAGTGAAGCTGTTCTTACACTGCTTAGTCACCGATTGGACATGAATGTAGTATTATGAAAATAATAATTAATTATATTTTTCACTTATTGTTTATAGTAGATTAAACGAACTAATATCGAATATATAGGGAGAATCAAATGGATTTATCTTTTTGAAACGGGAAAAAATTGTCCAAAGTCTTCGAATCTGTAACAGAATTTTTAACTAATAAATGTTCGATAAGGTTAACAACTTTTTATTGAAATAATTTAAAAATTTAGGACGGTATATATGTAGGGGCGATTCTTTTCGAAAATTAATTTTTGAAAGAAGCAATTAATGGATCATTTATTCGATTTCTAGATGTGATACATTTTTTGGAGAATACTTAGTGTTTTTTATATTTTTCTGATATCAAAATATAAATATGACAAATGTGTGCTTTCATAGCTTCTGCTTGCCTGACACAAACAAAGTGCTTCATTTCAGCCTACAGTTAGAGCTTAAACAATCTAGGCTCCTTAAATGCGATTTTATTAGTTGCGATAAAAAATATTTGTAGACAGGCAGTCTGTGGAGCCCCGTAACCGTCAGAACGAATTAGGGAAACATCCGAAACGTCCACTTGTGTAAAAGAAGCAAAACTGTTGGGCGGATAAGCCATTTAAAGCGATCATACAATAGCAGTGAGGTAATCACGGTGAAAGGCTATTAGCAAATAAGTAAGTGTTGAGCGATGAACCGTATGCGGCATCCTGTTTGGGCAAAGGGCCGACAGGACCATGCGGATTCCGGCTCCGATCCAGGACTACGCAACTTGAATCAAGGATTCATAATCTGCTTAAGGATATTAGCCGGAGATTCTGTTGTGAGTGACCATTCAAGAATAACGAAATATCTAATCTGACTGACACAAATGCGTCGGTTTCTGTGCTTTACACATGGCGTGGTTTTCGTTATTACACAGAAAGCAAAAATGATGACCACATGTCCCCTCTCTGGCGGTCCTAGTGCCCTGCTTTTATTTATATACGGAGCGGTCCGAAAATGTGGATTAAAACTAGAATTTTACAAATTCATTTTAAACCTATAAGCATTTTGAGGAAAAATTGCAATAAAAATATTGACAAGGAGTGAAATACTATGTTTAAAAAATAGATCTTAATCTAGAACACAATTTATTTCGGTCTATGAATGGAACAAAGGTATCTACACACCATATACCATGGGCCTATCGTCTTTTGTTTCCGAGATTAAAATTTTAGCCACATCTTTTTCAAAATGCAGTTTATAACGGTGCTAAATAAGTCAGTGTTGCTTTTTTGAACATCCTCTAGAGGTCGCTAGTTTCTGTATCTGTGACATTTTGCGACATAACTTGTTGAGGTTAGATTTTTTACAGTGTATGTTTTATATCACAGTGTAAAATTTCATTGTACACAAAAAAAGCAAACGGCTGTCCTAAAATGAATCAGCCTCTCTTTCTCGACAATTTGTAAGGGTTTCTCTTATTTCTTCAAGTGATTGAAATAAAGTAGTTTCGATGACGTAACTCAATTTTTGACAAAATGCAATAGCGGAAACCACATCTTGTACCTTCGTTTAAGAGTTACAGGGTGTTTTTCAATTTTTTTCATTTCCTACATGCTTTTTAATATTTGAAATCTAAAAATTGTTAAATTTATATTTTGATCTGTCAGATCTTTAATTTTTGAGACCGTTTTCCAAAACGCCCTACATAAAATAACTTTAAAATCTATTGGATTTTTTAATTATAAAATAACCGGTTAGAATTTTGAAATTCTATTTTCTAAAAATATTAAGGGAAGACTTGCTTCTATTGATACCTGTATCACCCTGTACAGGGTTCACCTTGCCCCTGTTCACGGCAAATGAGTTAAGCTACTGTTAGCAAATTAGACAAAACCCCAGCCTTAGCAGGAGCTAGGCAGGATATTTTAAATACAATTACATGTTGCGATGGGACGATCCTTACACATTTGGCGAACTGTGAAAATATTGTTAAGGGGTGTCGAAGTGGAAACTGTGAACTTAGTTGTTGTCCTGATATTAAGCCGTGAGCCTAGCCCCCCTTCACCCCTCAAAATGGCGTGGGAATGTGCAGGTGTTCGCACCTTAGGCAACTGGGTTGGTTTTCGCAACACGGCATTTCTGAAACTTGTGACGAGGTTTTCGACAAAGTAGAAAAACCTACTCGGAGAAATGAGCGATTTCATCCACGGGCTTGGAGTGGCCCATAAAAGACTTTAAGAAATTTATGCAAGAAATTGAATAAAAAAATAGAAGACAGAGATCAGAGACATCGAAGAACAACAGTGATTTAAATTTTTTGCATCTCGTACCTCAATGTCCTGTAATCTCTGCTAAGATTAAAAGGTGCAGGGTTAAAGCATAATTATTCTATTATTAATAAGGATCGATCAGATATGAATTATGACTAAAACGTGTTCTCAAAATCCTCGTTTAAGCTTGAATAGCGTATCAGCGATTAACATGATAAGGTCTGTTATGGAGGCGAATCGCCCTTAAAGAATACAATTGGTTCGATGTTGATAACCCATGTCAGGGCGACAATAATGCTGATAGCTTATTACGCAACTTTATTCCGTGTTGCCCTAACTCAGTGGCGTCGCGCACACAATATATTTACAAAACCGCATGCGTTCAAAATAAAAAAAATATATTAAATATATGTATTAGAGCCTGAATATTATTAATTATACTCTGCGAAATTTGTTAGTTTCTACAGATATAGAGTGATAACGTTTTAAAAAATCTACATTTTTCAAACTACCGTGTGTTGTAGAAAAGGGTGGTACCTTTTTTAGGGATTTATTTTTATATATTTTAAAGTTAAATTTTGACTATACTTATCTTTTCCAAAACACCAGCAAATTGTATACTTCATTTTACATAAAAATGGTACTCCACCAAATACATCCTAGTTGCCTTTTCCGAATATTGTTCCATGATATTTTTTATTTTAATTTTATCAATACGCGCGTCTTTTAGTATTTCTACGATCAAATTCGGTGCAAATCGGTATCGCCATAAAAAAGGTATACCGTCCTTTCCGCGCGTCCCTGTAAAAATCGGAAGGCAAGGCGAATGACATATAGATAGATAATCCCTGTCTGAACTGACAACGCGTCGCCCCCAGATTGCTTATGAATGCCAAAGGTGTCGATCCAAATAAAGGGGAGATGAGCAATTAATGGACTTCCCTTACTCTTCCAAGCATCCACTTCTGTTCGCATCCCACTCATATCGCACTAATTTGTTGCTGCCTAATAGAAATCCTCTTGTCAGGTTAAGCCGCTTCTGATAGGGTCGATAACAGGAAATCAAATTAAAACGTTTAAAGTTATTTCGAAACATCAGCTAAATATTACGTACTGATATAATAGATTTAAAAAAGTTATTAATTAATAATTCAAGGTGAAGTTTAAATGTATCAAAATACATTAATTGTCACAACAATATCCTGTTTCTTTTTAAATTATTTTTTAATTCAGAAAATTGTGAAAACATCTAAAATGTTGAGCGATTAAATTCTAAATAAGCGTGTGGCGCCATCTACAGCCAGAGGCAGCGTAGGGTACGGATACCATTACGTATGGTTTGACTCCGCGCTTCCTTTGAAAAAGATACCGCCGTTTGGATTTCTGTTTCGCGTCCGACTCGTTCCTGTCTGAGTCGCAACGAATAGAATAGATTAAATCGGAGTATGGTATAAGGGTGAATATAGAATATCCCTTAACTTAGTAAGCACCATACAAACATAAGCGATACAATAGCTGGTTCTAACCAAAACACTGGACAGTTATATAATTTTCAAGCGAGTGATTTAACCGGAGGATCATTTAATTAATATATATCCGAGGGAAGTGATGAATTGAAAGTACCCATAAATAAAAAAAGGCGAGAAAATACAAGATAAATATAAGGATGTCCAAGGCTGTAAGGATACTGCTTCAAAAAAATTGTAACGAGGAAGGAAATTACAGGTAAGACAATTTTTTAATGGCCCTACATTAAAATACATGCATACAAGGTGGTTTCCTGGTGCATTGCCGGTGTAGTGCATGTCGTTACTCTAATCAATATATTGAGCGTTTTGTACTACATGTGCCCTGTCTAGAAACAGAGCCTATAGTAAAAATATAATTGCCCTTATCATAGAATTCAATTCATACAATTCCGGCCCTTTTTGCTTTAATGATCGATAATAATTATTTAGAAGCTGCACTTCAAAAAGATTAGATATCAATAAATAATATTATGACTTAAAAAACCGGATGTCTATTTACCTCACAATCAGTTGATGTAGATGCAGAGGAAACCATAAAATGCTAAAATGTATAGTTTAGACTGTTTTTCATTCTCTGGTACGTGAATAAATTAAAAATCAATGTTAATAAAATCAACAAGTGGAGGCATGTCTCAGTTTTTAAAGTTCCCTGTCTTTTTTCATGAAAAAGCTCTGTTAAATAATAAATTTTAAATGTATGCATACACGTCGTCATATTCATATATAGGGCGTTTTTTACAGATGAATTTTTTTTTGACGAAAAAATATAGTCACACAATGAAACACGATACGTACCTACGATTTCGTTATAAATTAATAATTAAGATATTAATTCCTAACATACCTTTTAAGTATGTTATTGATCAAATAGCTTCTCTTCGAAATGTGACGAAACCAATAAGTATTTGGAATGTTTGGCACGAATAAATGTGACACCATAAAGTTTATCTTTTAAGGCAAGTCCTGCACTGATAGGCAGTCATATAAATTAAATTTCGTAAAGTTGTACTTTTGCGTAATTTTACCCAGTAATTTCGGGAATTAGATAATTTTCTCAATATTTTTTTTTTCATTAGCAACGGCTTTGCTGACGCTATCTCGGGTATAATAAATGCTGTGCAAAAAAATTACCTATACAGCGTCACGATGGCAAACACGTAGATAAGACTCAGATTTTATCATCATATGAGATTGGCGAATAAAAAAACATTTGTCTAGAATAAAGTTATAAAGTAGTTAGTAGAATTTTACCGAATATTCCTTATGTGGGGCTTTGATAGGGTACGTAAACTATTTACATTTTATTTCTTTTTAATTTTAATACACATAAAAACAACGTAAATGCAAGTTATAGATTATTATAAAAATTCAGGGTAGAATATTAGGAATTAATTAATTAATAAACAAACAGGTATATCTGATCCGATTTTTTTAAAAGCATTATTTAAAAACCTTGGTGGTTGGTAATTTCTAGGATTTTTTTGTTAAAAAAGATTCGTTATTTACATTAAGACGATTTTGATTCAAATTTTCTATCTACTTTAAACCAAAGAATGGTTTATAGAATACATACACATGGTGTTCAGAAGTAAATTAATTTTTTTATTAATCTTTAAAGAGACGAGTCGTTAAAAATTTACGATTTATCAAAACTATTTAGATTTAGAACATCAAGAAATTTTAGCTATATATTTTTAAAACAATAGTTTAATGCATTAAAATTTGCAGCAAGTAAGTTTTTGTCTTAAATATGTTAGTGTTATTGGTTTTTAACAGGTCGCTAGCTACGACCTTACCCAGTGATATTTTTTTACGGTGTACGTCGTATATTGTAATGTAAAATTTAATTTTACAAAAATATATTGCTCTTATTGAACTCGTTGACAATACACCGGTTTTGAGAAAAAAGCAATCGACTGTTCTAAAGTCAACCGGCTCGACTATGAAAAACCTAACCTCAAAAAAGTTTGTTATAAAATGCCACCGACTAAGGCCATGGCGACCTCTAGCAGGTGGTCAAAAACTAATTTAATCACTGACGCATTAGCACTCTCAAAAACTTGAAAATTATGGCTAATATTTTAATATCAGAGAAATAAAAGGTTTTTATGGAATTATTTGTACAGTAAAGAATGCTACTTATGTTTAATCTTTTTATCAGAATAGAAGTATTATAAGCCTTACAATTTATTTATGGTTAATTGTAAAGGTACGATACTAATTCATAATTCAGAGAAAAGGATTAGTACTAGAACCGATTGTAGTTGCGCAAAACCTAATCAAATTCAGTGTTTCAATCAAAAAGATAATTCACATGAACAAACCTACTTAATCTAATGAACTAATTTTCTGTAAATGCAACACCCTGTGTAATAATGTATGAATGACACAAATATTACCAGACCCGACTTGATTGGAACTATAAAATCAAAACAGGCATTATGGTTATCACACGGAAATATATACTTCCTGCCAAGTATTGTTTATATTAGCTTGCAAACAGAGGCGTTCTTTGTAATATTCAAAGGATGGTTGTTTACTAAACCTTCAAACAATCGTCGATTTTTTGTAAAAGTTTTCAAAAAAAAGACTAAGTAATTACTTGCTTTTAAAAAGATAAAACTACCAACCTTGTGTATAATAACAGAATAGAGAAAATATGTATCTACATAATATGTACTTTAAATCGACAATAAGTATTCGCTACTGATAATGTATGGTGTAAATTCCTGCTTTTACTTTTTTATTACCTTTACATTATCCTAATGAAAAGCAAATATTTTGTATGACGACGCGGAAAAAACAAAAAATACTGGAAAACTACTAAACATGATCTAAAGGGAGTAACTACTACGATATCTTGATGTTATTTTGTTTTTATATTTTAAATTCGTTGAAATAAAAATCGAATCTACAAAAATAAAAATCAAGATAAAATACAATTATAACAAGAACGTTGGCATAAAAATCGCTTAAAATTCTATTAATTTCTATTCGTCACTCGTGAATTAACCTAAAAATAGATGTAATCATACACTTAAGATTGTTTGCAATATGTTGCATTACGGAGATGAAGATTTAAATGACTGATGTTTGTTCCAGCAGCGAATCTTAAAATCGTTTTGTATAAATTTAAATGATGTACATACGTGACCATCTGACATAATAAAATTTCGAAAATGTTTCTATTTTTGTATAAATATTTCCATAATCTCGAGTGTTTTTTATATCTGACATCTGGTTCAAGTATTCCTAAATATTACAAATTTTTGTGATGTTATAATCAGATCTGTATCTCTATAGACTTGATAAGTGTTATTATGATGTTTTTCAAATAGGAACTTGAAAGATTTCGCCGAAAAAAAACTATTTTAGGTATAACACGAAAAGCTACATGGAGATATATTTTGGAAATTAGACCATAAATATTTATTAAATGAATCAAACTGCTAAAAAATACTAATTAATTATCTTATCTATTTAGGGACAATAAAGATAACGTACTGGAAAATTAGAAACATAAAAAATTGTTAGCTCAATAAAAAGTTTTTTTTGGGATTACTAAAGTATATCTGCTAGAGATTATGTTTTTATTCATAATATTACGTAGTTTGCAAATAAAATACATAGTGTACTCAAGTGAATTTAAACAATGTTCAGAACAAACATGATAAAGACAGTATTTAAACATCTGTTCGGAGAATTATGGAACTTTAGGAATATAAAAAATAAACCGGTATAATAAGTAACTTCTTATCTTTGGTATTTGCTTTTGACCAGATTTAACAGATAAGCCCAGTAGTTATAGATTTTGTATTTAGTTTGTAATCTTGTATATTGTATTTAAAAAAGAAAAATGACAAACAGTATAAAAACACTTAATAGCTGCGAGTAATAATATGGGATCCTGCAGTCTAGAAATGACAATTAAGCCTATAGTAGCTACATACAATTAACTAAAAAGTTATAATAAAACGTCTATTTCAAAGTCAAATAACAATCATTTGAATGAACGCATAAATTATTTAGGTCTTGTAACAAACAGGAAACCAACTTTTGATAAAAGGCAACGATCCTTTGACTAGTAAATCCAATGTAATTTTAATTTGATGACGAGTAAGGCCTCAAATAATATATAGGGTGTTTCTGAAATAAGTAAGGTCCTATACATTGGTAATTTAAGAAATTGTTTTAAGTGTTAAAATTAGAAAAAGATATCACATTTTCTGAAATAGGGATGTTTGATGTAGACTAATGAAACTTGGACCACTTTAAACACACAAATGTGTCAACCAGTGGCGTAGATACGAGGGATTAGTACCACGACGCCAATGAGTACTTCGCAAATCCGATTAATACTTTTTATTATCAAATAAAATTTTAAGGAAAAAGCACATGTTTGAAGAATGAACCGTTTTAGAGTTCTGTAATGTGCCAAAAGTTCATATAAATCATTGTTGTAGAAATTTTTAATTTTTTAAGAAAATAACTCCGAAAAAATATCAAAATTTCTATACCAATGATTTGCTGAACTTTTGACACATTACCACCTACGACATAGTCAGCATAGCAACACCTTCGGAGATACTTCAGAAAAAGTAATTTTTTTCTAATTTCAGCACACTGTATCTCTGAAACGATCTATTACTACATCTGACCTTTTATTTCCGAAACATACTATATATGAGTTTTTGAATTTTAAATTTGGTTGTGATTTTAAAATTGCCACATCAATATGTAATTTTTTATAAAGGAGTAAATGAAGTATTTCGCTAATTCCTTCTTTTTTTTTATAGCGAAAGATAGCTCCCACAATTATGAAGGTGCCCATGAAACTCTACCTGATCGTATTTGTGTGTGCTTTCATTATTCTTGTGCAATATCACCTGTATAACCCTTGGGTCATACCACAAAGCAGTAATGAAGTACCACAGTCTCTCGTCGAAAGACGAGTACCAATACAAGTGTCAGTACCGGTAAGTCAGCATGAGTTTTTGCTAATTTTGTATTTAGATCTATTCATGAGATTTTCAAAAATTTCAGATCCATGTCACCTATTTTATTATTGTAATTTATTTGATATAGTTGAATTATATTGAATATTTTTCAGTGAACATCTTTTTTTTTTTAGTGTGTCAACATTGTACCTCCCGACACTGGGAATTTACCCCCGCTATATATAATAACGCCTACTTATAGTAGACCTGAACAGATTGCGGAATTGACTAGACTGTCTCATACTTTAATGTTAGTACCAAAAATAATATGGTTAGTGATAGAGGATGCCTACCATACAAATGATCTCATAGAGGATGTTTTAAAGAAATCTGGGCTTACATACTATTACACAGTCGGTCAGTATCAAGATTATTGAGGTTTAGGTGACCTTATTAATCTGGAAAGTGTCGGTCAGAATATTCATTTATATTTTATTTTTTTGCTTTTTTAGCTCCTATGCCCGCACAATATAAAAACAAAACCAAAGGTCCTAAACCTAGAGGTGTCTCGAACAGGAATAAGGGGTTGTCGTGGATAAGGGAAAATGCCAAAACTGGAGTTTTTTATTTTGCCGATGACGATAACACCTATGATTTAGATTTGTTCAAAGAGGTAAAACGAGTGTGCAAACTATTTTAGTAATATGAATTCCATGAATTGAATAAAAAAATGTACATATGAACATCTAGCAAAATGGAAACAGCAGTTATATTTTTAGATAAGACATACAAAACGAGTGTCAATGTTTCCAGTGGGCTTGATAACAAAGGCTGGTGTAAGTTCCCCTATTGTAAAGGATGGAATATTCTCAGGTTTTTATGATGGATGGATCGGGGGAAGGAAATTTGCTGTAGATATGGCAGGGTTTGCTGTATCTGTGGATTTTTTATTGAAACGTCCAAAAGCGGCTATGCCATTTAAGCCTGGATTTGAAGAGGACGGGTTTTTGAAAAGTTTGGCACCTTTTGAACCCAAAGAAGTCGAACTTTTGGCAGATAATTGTACAAAAGTTAGTCAATACACTGTATAACCTTGGTTATTCGAACTTATGTATTCTGTTTTAAATTTGACCTCGCCCCCTGGGTTCTGGGTTAACGGCGCTCATGTTCGTTATATACAAGTGTAAAATTTAAACAGACTGTATATAAAGTATCTACAATTTTTCAAAACTGATATATTATGCCGTGGCCCTCCTTTACCTTTTGCCATTTCAACAATTATCAAAACAAAAGTTGTAGTTTGTTTTTATTTTCCCCATCAAATTCTAGTTCTTCACTTAATGTACTATTTCAAATCTCATCGGTCAATCTTAAATTTTTTTTTTCTGATTTTGATCAATAAAATATGTACAACTGGCACACAAACTAACTTGTTTTGTGAAAATAAGAACAAATTTCATCTTTTGAATTATCATATAAATTTTCGGATGCACAGATGTTCGAATAATTGGGATTATACTGAATATACAATTTCTAAAACAAATTGGGTGATTTAAAGACCGATATACAAGACGTTTGGAAAAGTTGGTAGAAAATTTAAGAAGGTGAAAGTAGAGCCAAAAATAGTAAAAAAGTTGCTATAAACATTGGTCCTCCGGAGCACCGTTACTGAGATATGGCCCTCCAAAGGAGTCTTATCATTTGGATATTTTTGAAAATAACTTTCTTTCTGGTTAAGATAATGGAATGAAAATTGTTGGTAATAATCATACCATAAGGGTTTTTGAACTATCATAAGTTTCATCAAAATCGGTTATAAATAAAGATATATAATATAATTTTGTACCAACTTTTCCAACCACCCTGTATATTTTGGTATAAGTAAGGATATCAAAGGATTGAATTGTAAATGTTTGCAGATACTGGTGTGGCATACACAAACAAAGAAAAATGAGCCTTCACTTCCCCTGGATATGGCAAAGTACAGCAATACCAATTTAATAAAGCTCAAGAAAATTCTAGTCTAGCCAGCGCATATTTTGGGAAGAAAGTAAAGTTGGCACTACTGTTCGTACAGCATAGCATACTGCTCTGAAGATTAAGTCCATAAAGACGTTGTAAATAAAACGTACAAATAATTTATTTTTTTTATAAAGAAAAGTGATCTGTTTAAATTTTGATGTTAAAAAGGATAATAAAAGTCTCTGCGTAACTTGAGGTTTAGAAAAAATGAGAAGTTCCTTATTAATGAATCATTAGTTGAACTGAGATATTATGTTTCTCTATTATTTGTGTATTTATATTTAGATTATGAGGAAATGATTGTGATACTTTTTTATAACAATGCAATATCATTCTGCATTAACCATATCCCACTTTACTTTTAAATTTATTTATTGAAGTATGGGGCTGTGGAAGATTTTTTTTATAAATTAACTATAAGGTATTGTAATATACACAATCATGTAGAAATATAATACAATAAATATATTTATCTCATGCTCTTTGTTTATTATTCACCTATTTAAAATTGTACAGATTAATGAAATTTTCCTGTGAAAAGATTGATTTTTTGTAAAAATTTTTAGGATTTTTGATAATATAAGAGGATTAAGGAAGAAATAAATATATCTGTGACATATAGGATAAATACATTGGACAGGAGTTAGGAAAATAAAATTCCTTAAATTTCGATATAATTTATTTGTATTTTCACGTAATTTTTCTAATTATGGACAATTCTCAAAAGAATTATATGTTTTCAATTCCTTTACAACGTAATAATACTCTCTAAAGCTTATTTGTACACCATGTATTACTGTAAAGATTATGCCGATAGGCTGCCATTTGGCAGCCTCCAATGGTGTAAATAAGTAGCTTGAGGATATACTTTTTCACACAAAAAAAAATTAAAAGAAATGCAAATCTTTTTGGCAATTCATTCATAAACCTACATATAACGCAGTACTATTAATCAATATACTACAAGCTATTTTGGTACATTTGCAAACGATGTTAAGAAAATTATGGGTTTGGTGCGCTTGTTGTCTATTGATCATAAAATACTAAATGACTGCCCTCTCATTTATTTTTCGGAAACTGGCAACTTTTATAATCATATCGATGTTAAAATTCGTTAGATTAAATGTTTGCATCTAGAAATATGGATATTTTCTATTAGCAGATGAGAGACGATTTATTAAATATTCAGTGTAAATTCATTTTTATATAGATTGTCATGGAAATAATGTCGCCAATAGAAGAAAAATAAATATCGAGGGTAAATTGGTCAAAAAGGTACTACAATTATTGTGGGTAAGAACCCAGACTATCTGCAATGTGAAACTCCTTCCTTTGATTCAAAATGGCAGTGTCTTCCTAGCATTTACCTCACGCTGATAAGGCGTTTAAAATATACTTTAAATAATAATAAAATCCGGGTGACAGTGACACAGTATTATGAAAAATTTTATAACCTATCTCACACATACACACAATTACATATACAGGGCGCACATATATTTTTATAAATATATATTTTATGTTGTCTCTTATTTTTTTAAGAACATTATTATTTTGTGCTTTTATCACAATGGTTTTTCTTTAATAAACAAAGTTAACACAGACCTGTGATATAACAGACCTACTTTAATTCATTCGCTACAATTTAATAATATCCTCGTTATTTACAAAATTTAATATCAACATTTACATAACAAAATAACACAAATCTCTGCTATTAACAACAATACTGGGTCACTATAACCACTTTTCCAATATCTCTTTAAATATCATTTTATTTCAATCGCATCTCTCAAAATAAACCAAACTGTTTAACAACAATTTTGCAAAGTTCTGGGAATCAAAAAACTTTAAAAAGCTGCCAGTGTAGCTGCCTTTTTGTAGTATTGTCGATAGATTTTACAGTTCTGATTACTTTTTTTTTACTTAAGTTACGTTGTCTTTTCGTGCTGAAAATGAAACTATTGAACGTATCCCTTTCACAGAAGTCTGTAAAAACATAAGAAAATTATGTCTTTATCATTATAAAATAATAAAACATATCTTTTTTTCTCTATTTATGGTTAGTTTGAGCAATTGTAATTTTCTGGATGATATTATTACACACAAAAATTTAGAGACAGAATTTTTCATTTACACATCAAACAGAAAAATAATTCCAATCTATACTCCAAACCATAACATTCCGATAATTCTACATTACGGTCGGAAATGTCGACAAAGCATCACGAATATTTATCTGAACAGTCATTAAAGCCGTTAAAAATATTACTATAGGTGAAGTTCTATGTATGAGACATTCTCATTTCGAAAAAATATAAATACACATGACTGTAATCATACACATGTAAATGCAACTTTACAGTTTCTAAAAAGATATTTCCCCCTTTTGACAAACAAAACTACAAGTACACCACCACCAAACTACTTGCCCCTTCTTACCTTTTTCTTTGATCCATTCAAGAACTCCTTGTACATTTCGGACCTCAAATATCTTGAATAACTGTCACTCTTCATTAAATGATATACGTGTGCCTAAAGGATCGTGAATTTAGTATACAAAATCAACCTGTCAAATTGCTAAATCTTACCGCTGCACAGTCAAAGCTCCATCGGTCGAGCACCTCCATATTTTTCTTAGTGAGTTCGTACGAACGCGCATCAACATTAATTGGACAGCTTGCGTCAGGTGCTAAAAATTCCGCCCAAATTTCCTTTGCTCTGTCCTGAACTTGACTTTGAGGCAACGCCTTTAATTCTTGGACCGCTTCCCAAAACCTGAAAGTTGAGTAATTATTTACAATCTGACAACGAAAATAATTAGTAACTACAACGTGTAATTTTGATTACCTCAAGTTTTCTCCACTGAACTCTTTATCGAGGAATCGAACGAAGTGCTCCCTTCCGACAGGGTCCTGCAGTAATTCTTGTAAATTGAAAGCCCACCGTTTCACTCTGCGTGCTGATATGTCTTTTGCCATTTTTTCTTGTTCCCATAAATCAGGGCTGTCAGATATCCAAGGGTTTGGATATTCCGGTGCCACAAAAAAACTGTCGTACTCTAAATATTGCTCACAATATGCCACAAACCTAAAAAAAGTGTTCTACTCATACCATTTATTAATGTTTTCCAACTTACGATTCTGCGGCTTTCGATAATTTGATATTCCGTCTGTCCAGTCTAGATTTAAGGAGAATGATCTGTTTCTTAAGTTGCTCAGTTGAATTTTTCGGTGGCAAACCAGAAGTTGAAGGAGACATTCGAGGTGTTACAAGGTACATATTTTTTACACCATGGATGGGTTTGTTCATTTGACATGCTTTTTTTATGTCAATTTCTGTAGTATTTACACATCCAGGCTGAAAAAATACATCAACTTCAGCAGTTCCGTCAATAAACGACTAGTATTTATATATTCTATAGTGGAAACAATTTTGCTTACCATCGGTCTATGCACATCCCAAAAAGCACGTTCTTGGCTATCCAACACTTTCCTTTCCAATTTGTCTCTTTTTTTATCAACTTTGCTTTGAGCTTCCGCTTGCATAAAAATAAATTCCCATTTTCTGGAAAACATTTTTTGCAACCTGGCTAAATTTTCAGCCTCATAATCAGCCAATTCCAACCGAGTCTTGTTCTGCATTGTCCTCTTACAAAGGTAAACAGCTGAAAAAGACAATTTTACTTAACTGAATTTTTTTTATTGACTTTCTTATTACCATAATCGGTGTTTTCAGGTTCCCAACAATTCGAAGGCCAAAAATATGGTGTTTGAAATCGGTAGAAAGTGTTATCATTCTTTACGGTGAGCATGTGATCATCTATGGGGAAAAAATAACCATGGGACGCCATTAAATGTGCTAAATGCAAAGCTTCTTGCTGGTCTTCCACGTCCAAATTTTTCATCATCCACATTATGAGGTCAGATCCTGTGAAAACTGATGGTATTTTTGACATAAAACTTTTCACTGTGCGAACCGGTACTCCCGTAACTTCATCTTGCATTTGTTCCACAATTTTTTCCATCTAAAAACATAATGCAGGATGCCATAATTTGCAGCCCAGTACTTTTTTTCATAAAAGAAAAAAAGATTCCTTAAATCTTATACCACTAGAACTTTTAAAATGAACTGAAGATATTATGTAGTATAAGATTTACTGAGTAGCAAATAGTAAATTGAAAATAAGGCAAGAAGTTTGAGATTAGGGCAAGCACCAAACCTTTTTGTACAGTAGATGGTTGGGAGATTCCTCAGTATTGGTGGTTGGCTGTATGGACACTGGTTCTTCGTTACTCACTCCCGTACAACCGCCATTATTAGCCTCTGGCTTGCGCTTAGCGGCAGCCTTATCGGAATTCATAGTGACCATGTTACTATCCCTGGAGGAATTTGTTCCTCCTTGTGCTTCAAAGAACACAACACAAAACACAACATTAATTTTTCAAACTTACATGCAATAGAGTACATAATTAAAGTCAAAATTTGTGTTTCTTAAAGTGTTCTCTCATTCTAAAAGGCAATGTCGTCTTTTTCCTGTGTATCTATCTCATGCTACCGCATTTATAAAATAAACATTAAGGTAGTCTTTAACACAAAGCAATTCTGAAATGTGTGATATCTTTCATTAACAACTATTTAAATATAGTGCCAAAGAGATACAGAGAAAGCATTAAAAATGTGTATATGTATGAATAAATACACATATACACATAGAAAGGTATATATGTATAAAAGCATAGCATTCAAGAATCTTAAATTACAGCAGGATATTTAACTTACTCCATTGAAAATTACAAATGAAAGAGTCCAAGAGGATTTCCGATTTCTGGCATATTCATTAATTAATATGTTTGTTATATTTTATCTACCTCTTATCGAGAAACTTCATATTTAAAATACACTGTTACAAACTTAAAGATTTATCACTTTTTTAAAATATATTTCAAAAATATTTATTATACTACATTGAGCTAGCACCATCGATATTTTCTTTACCTCGGTAATTTCGAGTTTCTTTCGTATATTTCCGGAAACGTATTAGCGGGAAATTCAAATCTCACCTCCTTCCTTTTTCGGGAACAAAAGCTCATACATTTCCCTTCACGTCTTTGAGTTTCAAAGAGACTGAATCTTTAATTTTCTTCTTATATTGTTACGTCAAACGTTAATGGAAACATTTCATTATTGAGATAATTACACAATTAGACCTCTTCATTATATCATTCATTGTTCCTTACAATACCCGACAAATTACATATATCCACGTGTTCACCTATTTATTTATTTAAATGAAAATGTATTCACTAAAAGATAGTATGGGTAAATTATTAGCCTTGCTTATAAATTACTAAATAATTATTTCCATAAATTGTGATGAATAATAAATAATATTAAATTTTTTATAGGCACATTCACATAATGTAATCATGTTTTCAAGGATATTATGGTTGCATTTAATAAAATGGTTAGAGAGATTGCAAGGAATTTTGATATATTTCACTGAAGTTTTCATTATAAATTGAAGATTATCTACTCATTTTGAAATGAACCGCCATTTGTTTCCTCCCAGATTTCTAGCTGATTCGAATATACAGGGTGAACTAACGAATTTTACAATAGGGTCTGGGCTGATTTAATTAATTGATCTAAAATAGTTTGCTGTTAAAAAAAAAGAAAGGTCTCCTGATGAATTGCTAGTAATCACCTAGTACGGTAATCATACAACCTCAATTAATAAAATTAATTTTTTTAAATTAAATTCAGGGTAAGGTCACGATCACGTCGTACAACCACTAAAACAGAATAGCTGAAAACGAATCAGCTACACCAACCGCAAACTTAAAATATTCCTAATTGTACTAAGATAGGCAACTCATTGTTTTTATCTCATTTCAACGTGTTGACGTGGTATATCGCTATTTCCTTTTAATAGGAACCGCTGCAAATTTGAAATCAACAAAGGTAGAACTAACATGACAGAGCAAATTATCACAATTCCATGTTGAGGGGTTAAAGACTTAAAAAAGTGGTTTTAGAAAAATTTTGAATTAATATAACGGAGATACTGCGGTTTACTGTATTTTATCACTTACCTTCATTGTCATATGTAAAATTAGTGTTTTTTAATACCTGAGAACAAAATTGTAAATTGCGCAAAGATGACTAGTGAAACTAAACCTGAACCTGCAAAGGTAGAAACCAAAGCAAATGATGATGATAAGAACAAAAATGAACTGGTAAGTAATTAGTAGGCATTTATGTTTATGATTTTAATCTTGGTTTTTCAGTCTGATGAAGATAGGCAGTTGCAAGAAGAATTAAATCTATGTGTCGAAAGACTACAAGAAAACGATGAAAGGCTTTACTTACCAGCTCTACAGGCGCTGGGCAATCATATCAGAGCATCTACTACCTCCATGACCTCAGTGCCGAAACCTCTTAAATTTATGAAACCTCATTACGAAACTATGAAAGAAGTTTATGAAAAAATTCAAGAACCCAGTGCAAAAACGATGTGTGCCGATATTATATCCGTCTTAGCAATGACTATGGGTGATGGAAGAGAAAGTTTGAAGTATCGTTTATTCTCAGATTTGGACAAAATTGGAGATTGGGGCCACGAATACGTGCGGTTAGTATGTGGTATGTATAAAATGTTTAAAACTTATTTTCTAATATGCTTGCAGTCATTTGTCGGGAGAAATTGCTGGGGAATGGGCAGAAACGGATATTTCAGAAAATAAGGAAATAAGAGATAAACTTATCTTATTGACAAAGCAGATTGTTCCTTACAATATGGCACACAATGCAGAAGCCGAGGCCTGCGATTTGCTAATGGAAATAGAAAGACTAGATTTATTGGAACAATATGTGGATGAAAATATATATACTAGAGTCTGTTTGTATCTCACAAGGTAAAGTACACTTCTAATTCATAATTTTAGAGTAATAATTGACAATTAAATTTTAGTTGTGTCCCTTACGTAGCCGATCCAGAAAATACAACCCTGCTTCAAACTGCTTTGTTGTTATTCCGCAAATTTAAGCAGTATCCTCAAGCATTGCGTTTAGCCATGCAACTCAATGATCACAGTCTTATAGAAGAAATATTTACTTCTTGCCCGGATATGTAAGTTTTTAAAATAAAATAATCACATCTTCTAATATTTATATTTGTAGTGCTATTCAAAAACAACTGGCTTTTATGTTGGGTAGACAACAAATTTACATCGAAATTCCCGAAAGTACTCCAGAGTATGAAGATTTAATTGAAATTATGGCAAACTGTCATCTCAACAACCACTTTTTAAATTTGGCTAGAGAGGTAAGTACATACTTGTATTTATATTGCTATAAAATCTATAACGATTCTCTTGTTCAGCTTGATATAATGGATCCTAAAACACCGGAAGACGTTTACAAATCCCACTTGGAAAATACACGACCTCAGTTTGGTGGCAGTCAAGTGGACTCGGCTAGGCAGAACCTGGCGGCGAGTTTTGTAAATGGCTTTGTAAATGCAGCATTTGGCCAGGACAAGCTTTTGATGGAAGATGGGAACAAGTGGTTGTACAAAAACAAGGAACATGGCATGTTGAGCGCAACGGCTTCTCTTGGTTTAGTTCTTCTTTGGGATGTTGATGGAGGTTTGACCCCAATTGATAAATACTTATATTCCTCGGAAGATCATATTAAATCAGGTGCACTATTAGCTTGTGGAATAGTAAATTGTGGTGTTCGAAATGAATGCGATCCCGCATTGGCCCTTTTGAGTGACTATGTCTTACATAATACCAATATTATGAGGATTGGTGCTATCGTAGGCTTGGGTTTGGCCTATGTAGGGTCAAATCGAGAGGCAGTATTAAGTTTGCTAACTCCTGTCTTCTCCGATCCAAAATCTAACATGGAGGTCATTGGAATGTCTGCTTTAGCTTGTGGCATGATTGCAGTTGGTTCTGGCAATGCTCAGGTCACCACAACAATTATGCAGACACTTATGGAGAAATCGGAAACCGAATTGAAAGATACTTACGCTAGGTTTTTGCCACTTGGACTGGGACTATGTCATTTAGGTAAACAAGAAGGTGTGGATACGATTATTGCAGCGTTGGAAGTTATCCCGGAACCGTTCCGATCCATGGCAACAACAATGGTTGATATCTGTGCATATGCTGGTACTGGAAATGTACTAAAGGTCCAACATCTCTTGCATATCTGTTCAGAACATTATGAAGCTTCCGAGAGTACTGATAAAAATACTAAAGATAAAGACAAAAAGGAAGCTAAAGAAGAAAAGGACTTGTCTCCCAGACAAGCTATTGCGGTACTTGGTATTGCTTTAATAAGTATGGGTGAAGATATCGGTAGCGAGATGGCCTTCCGAACGTTCGGCCATTTGCTCCGCTACTGCGAACCTGTAATTCGTCGTGCAGTTCCTTTAGCACTTGGACTAATTTCCGTTTCTAATCCGAAGTTAAGCATCTTAGACACACTCAGTAAATTTTCTCACGATAGCGACGCTGAGGTTGCTCATAATGCTATTTTTGCTATGGGCTTAGTTGGAGCAGGAACAAACAATGCTAGGCTTGCGGCCATGTTGAGACAACTAGCTCAATTCCATGCCAAGGATCCCAACAACTTGTTTATGGTGCGCATCGCTCAAGGTTTGACCCACTTGGGTAAAGGAACTTTGACACTTAGTCCGTACCATAGCGACAGACAACTTATGAGTCCTGTAGCGGTTGCTGGGCTTATGGCCACATTAGTTGGATTTTTGGATGTGAAAAATAGTGAGTGAAAGGTTTTTTTATACTGTAACTGATTTTTAACATGTTTGTTTGCAGTTATTCTGGGTAGGTCCCACTACCTCTTATATACATTAGCTGCTGCGATGCAACCTAGGATGCTCGTTACTTTTGACGAAGACTTGAATCCCCTTCCTGTTCCAGTGAGAGTTGGTTTGGTGAGTAATAAATAAGATTGTTCCCGAGACATTTTTTGATTGATTTCTTTTAGGCTGTCGATGTGGTTGGTCAAGCAGGTAAACCAAAAACAATAACTGGTTTTCAAACTCATACGACTCCCGTTTTGTTGGCCTATGGCGAGAGAGCTGAACTCGCTACAGAAGAGTATATCGCTTTAACACCTATAATGGAAGGATTCGTCATTTTGAGGAAAAATCCAGATTTCAATCCTTAAATTTTCTATTTCAATTTAAAACTAAGTACGTTTAACTTAGGTCTTCGTTCTTAAATGTTCCCTCAAGTTTTAGATATGTTTATTCTCAATCAATATTTATAAGTAGTAATTATAATTTTTTTTTTTAATTAACAAAGGTTGAAACATTAAGTATTCTGTAATAATTTCTGTTTAATAAAAAGACAGTATGGAGTTCTTTTCAGTGCCGAAAAATTCTGTCCATACTATCGTTCGCATTAAATTGTTTTTTTTTTGTCAAGAATATTTTCTACACTTCCTCTTCTTTTTCCGCTACTTACCATCACAATTACTATTTCACGGATGAGTATGGATTCAATGTTAAAGGGAGCATCGACAAGTTTCGTACTTGATCGTATACAGGGTGTCCGCAAATTTCACCAACAACATTTGACTGCATATTCACGACCATAAATAAATACGATCTACGAAAAAAAAGTTAAATAAAAACATTGGTTTTTCAGTTGCAGGCTAATTAATTTAATTAATAACATCAAAACCCTTTTACTGATCGCGTTAAAATTTGGCTCATTTACTATTATGGTGTGTTATTTCTTAAAGCTTTAGTCAAATTGATGTACTGGGTGATAGTTTTCTCCGGTTACCTCTCCCTTTTAGCGGTTGTATTTTTTTAAAACGGGCAGCAACATTGAAAAGGTAGTTCTATTTAAAAAAATATAGTCTTGAGAAAATCGACTACAGAAAGCCATTCTTGAGAAAATTGACATTATTTGCAGGTGTGTATGTTTTGGTTTGCGTAGCAGTGTCGCGGATTTAAAACTTTAGTTCAGTAAACCATGAAAACAAGATGTTGATTGCTGTGACTATCAGGTAATGTCATTATTGTCGTCTTTCTTTAGAATTCTCATCACTGCACATACAAATTATGAAAATTGACAACTTCGTTCCTTGTAAAACAAGGTTTGTCGGTAATTTTTTAAGAAAATTATTATCTTCTGCGAAGCCATTCACCAATCAGGGACAAAATTGTAAACGTTGGAATCTAAATTTTCAACTTCTCGAGAGAATGAAATGACCAAAGAAGTTATTTTTTTAAAGTTTTGTGAACATTAGTTTTACATACATTTAATTGTCTTGATACACTGCAGACACTTCATAATTTGCATGTGCAGAGTGATGAGAATCCTAAAGAAATACGACAATAATGACTACTTGATAGCCACAGCAATAAACATATTGTTTTCTTGAACTGTAAGTTTTAAATCCGTTACACTGCTACGCAAATCGAAACATACACACCTGCAAATAATGCCATTTTTCTCAATAATGGCTTTCTGTAGGCCATTATCTCAGGAGACAATTTTTTTTAAGTATAACGACCTTTTCAATGTTGCTGCCCGAGGTAACCGGAGCAAACTATCTCCCAGTACATCGATTTGATTAATACGCCATAATAGTCCAAATAAATGTGCCAAATTGTAACGCGATCGGTGAAAGGGTTATGAAGTTATAAATTAAACTGGTTTTATTTTTGACAACTTTGAAAGCATGTAACTGAAAAACCAACAATTTTTTAGGTATTTAACTTTTTTTTCGTAGATTATTTTTATTTGTCGTGAATATGCAAACACCCTGTAGAATGATGATTGATAGCAATAATAAATTACAGTAATAATAAACAACTATATATTTCACATTCACTTTATTAACATTTGAAATACACTTAATTACCATATAAATAATATGAAATAAATAATATACAGTCTTCTTTTTAGGACATTTGTATAGATGGATAAAATCTTGAAAAATCAAGCATATTTTTTGCAATAGACTTATTCCAAAAATAGCATGCAATAACTACTTAAGTAACAGCCAGAAAAGCAAAAAAATAAGGGTATATTTAAGTATCTGACAGCCTAAAAACTAAAGTGTGACACCTTTCCACAATTATATTGTGAGGATTCAACATTTAATTGAAAATTCAAAGCATTTGGTATAACATACTATCACATTAACACAAAATGACCCAAAACCATAAAACTTTTCATAAATATACTTCTATTACCATATTAACCGTTGTGGGGCCTCGTAATCTTCCCAAATGATAGTTTTGGTGTAAAACAAATTAAAGGATATAGCATTTATGACACAAAATGTAACAAACTCAAGAATCACATTAAAAACTGTAGAAGTGTTGTTCTTGATCCGAAGTCTAAAAATTATATAAGGAATAAAGTAATAACGAACATCAACCAATTTATGTGTACTCAACACGAGAAAGATGCATAGTAAATACAGTATTAAGAAACTCATATCATTTTTATCATACAATATTTTTAATATGACGTACCAAGAAAATACATAAACTGGGACCATAAAATACCGAAATAAGGCGTATTTTCCATAAAATCTGTTCCATACATAAAAAAAATAATGCCGGTTGTCGGCAAGCAAATAAGGATGGACCAAAGTATTTGCATATACCAGGAATATTCCTAGTAAAATAGAACTTAAAATCAACAACTTATGCCTTCTGGCGAAGAAAGTGAAACTGATGACCTCACCTACGAAGTGCGGCCAAGAAAAAATTAAGCAAAACAATGAATAATAGAACAGTTGTGGTATATGCACCGCGACTTCGTGAGCACTTTTATCTCCAACAACAACTGAACCGTTTAAAATAATAAAAACTACAAATGTTATTAGGATAGTTGCATATGCTGATAAATCAAGCCAAAACTGCAGGGATGTATTTAACAGAATACTCTTAGGTCTCCTTAAAAGCTGCATAATGAATTGATAAAAGTTCTGAAAAAAATTAATTTAGGTGCAGAGTTACTAAATTTTACAAAGAACTTTATAACTTACCTCTGATGGTATTGTGTGTTCTGTTTCTCTTGTTATGGCTCTATGCATTGCAATTTTATACAACTCCGTCAATGCATATTTTCCAGCAACTAAGGCCACCCAAATAATATTGGTTTGACGGCAAAGCACCGAAATGAAACCTTAAATATGAAGATTCAAAGTAAATATGTATAAATGTTACTATAATACACCTACCGAAAACTGAAGCATAGTAATGATACCCTTTTTCACTCAATACAAGCATCGCTAAAGTCATCGTGAGTGCTACAACATCCGTATAATAAAAATGACTAAAGAAGTACAAGGGTGGAAGTAGAGCCAGAGTAAGAGCTGATAAAACATTTCCCCATTTGCTCTAAAATTGAAATATGACATTACAGTAGTTATATTTTCAAATATAAATACAAAACGTACCTCCTCGTGCTTGGAAAGAAGGTGGTAAAACAACAATATATTGACTACAGATGCTAATAGTGACACAAATCTTAACGCATATGAAGAACATGTATGAAATGGGCTCAGTACAACCATTGACACCACGTAAAGTCCTGGGAGTGTCGTTACTTTAGGATCCCACTAAAAATTGACATTTATAATATCTGAAAATATTTATGTTTTAACTTACTTGAGAAAAATCAAGCTCACAGTAAGAATGGCCTAAAGGGATATGAAATTCTTCGTCTACGACCATATTCGAGGTTAAGTAAACATTGTCGAATATTATTTTCGAAATAATAAAGTAAATAAATATACTCAACACCAGACATACTGTTGGTTGCTTAACGATCGTAAATAAATCAGCCATTTTAGCAAAAAAATTGTTTCATTTTACGATTTACTTGAAACAATAACGCGCCTATCCACCATCATATTTTGCAGAAAAATTTTAAATTTGGAGGCATGCGCATTCCATTCAACATTGCCATTAGTCAGCAGCGTAACAAGGGACTCATATAAATTATTATTAATGCTGAAATCATTAATTTTGCGGTTAAATATACATTAAGTTATTAATAAACCAAGTAATTACTAAGTATTTTAATGATGATGTCACAGGTGTTTCTTTTATAAAATAGTTTAAAATATATGTTTTTGTATGTAAGTACCTAAGTTTTACTATTTTATTTTATATTTTGATGAATTGTTCATTGTACCTTTTTATTTTGATGTAGATATTTACAATTGATGAAATGGAAATAACTTATTAGCAATTGGTGGTTCCATTTATTACTTATTTTCTGTATCATATTTATTGAAGACATAAATATTACAGATTAATTTAAAGTGTTACGCCACTGAACAAATGGAAAATAGAATTTGTGTGTTTAATTTATGATAAAAGATTGTTTATATTTATTGTTTTGTTTTGACTCACTATTAGTGGATAGGCAGAACATATACATAAACTTGTTTCTGTAACGGACTAAAGGGTATATTAATGGTAATGGACGATTAAAAAATCGTGCGGTTATGTCAGATATAAGTATTAACATTTCTGTACGTAATCAGAGAAATATTTATTTAGGCATTGGTACAGGAATTGCTTGTAGAGTTAATATATAAAATTATTCCTTCTTACCTACATACAGACGCAGATGTATTTAGATGACGTACAGTTTTAATTAAAGAAATTCTTAAAAAATAATGACAAACAGCAGTTTCGGCAAATCAATTTGAAATAGGTACCAGTTTTGTTAATTTGGTGAAATTTTGATTTTGGTATTTTTTTTTCCATCTTATTATTATTATTAGAGGTTAATGCTGCTAAAACGGTTACGGTATAGTTCAGATACCTACTTAAAGACTGATTTATTTTTTAATGGATTAAAAAAAACAGCATCCTAACAACAAAGTATATAATAGAATCCTAACCTTCAGCGTTTTTATGGAAAATGACAGCCCAGTAGTATGAAAATTGCTCTGGTGATCGAGCCTCTGGCGCTGATGTATCCATGTTGATTATTTTTGACTTAAGTTTGAAGATGGAAAATTAGCTACTTTTTGGGCAGATCTGTGTGAATTTAAAACAAAGATATTGCGAATTAATCGTGTTTCAATTCGCTAGTGTCTACAAATCTAACTAAGCATAAGGCGCCAAACAATAACAGAAGGATGGTTCGTAAACGTAAGTTTAAAAACCGTGTACTTAGCAGAAGTTCTGTATAAAGCAAATGAAATGATTTTCCTAACTTTTAGGTCATAACAGAAAGAAGGGTCCGTAATAATATCAAGTTATGGATCTAGTATCTAGTGAAGAAAATGACACACCGCTAATTATAGATAGTGGTACTGAAAGTATCACCGAGAGCCCCACTGCTGAAGATGAGAGTGAACATTCAGAAGATTCCACAGTGTGTGATTTACAGATTGGTATGTAACAATTATTGATGTTATGTGTTCAATAATTTAACGAACGGTATTGTGATTTTTTAGCATCCAAAACCAAAGAAAAGCTTCAAACTGCTCAAAATATATTGGATAAATCATTTTCAATAGACGAAGAAGACCTGGCAACGCCTTTAGAACCTATACCTGTGCAAAATTATCCAGGACTTGCTTCAATTTCCAGTAATGGTACGTCAACGGAAAGTAGCAGTTCAGACCCAAGGTGAGTACATTTTTACTTTACTGGAAACTAGTTAAAAATATTTTTTCGCTTTTTCCTAAGAGTGGTTGTCAAAATTTATAAAATATGCCTAATTTTTTTTATAACCTTGATAAACAAAAATTATATACCAAAAAGTGAATATTTTGTTTTTCAATTGTATTTGTTTAATCTAAAATAATTATGTTAGTGGAAAATCTGACGACGAAGAAGTTTTGGAAGATCTCACACATGATGATTGTACAAATCAGACGCAAAGTAAAGAAGAAGGTTGTATTGTCGATATAGTGAAGCAAATCGACATAGATGGGAGCGGAGACACAGGAAAAGAAGGTATGACTGTGGAAGAGAGCCATGTTGATGCAGGGGGTGATGTGCCCTCTGACTTAGCTACCATTCCAGAAAACAATAGCGAGACTGAGATATCAACGGGTACAAATGACCAAATTTCTTTGCCAAATACAAACTACACTTCTATTCTCCGAGGACAACCCACAGACTATGATTCTTCCTCTAACAGTTCTCCAACTAACTCTAAGCGCAGAGTGTCATTTCCTCTAGATGAATGCAATCTGATTACGTATTGCGAGCCAGATCATGAATTTCCTTGGATGATAAGTAAGTTCTAATAGCAATATATAATAGGGCGTTCTAGAAATGTATGAGCTTAAACTTCAGTTTCATGTTGATAGTATTTTCAAAATTTCAATATCATTTTAGCTCAAGATATGCCTGCAGAAAAAATTCTCCAGGTTTACCAAAATTCCTGCAAGAAGCACAAAACAATCGAATTAGATGTAATAAAATCGCAAATAAGTGTAAGTAATAATAACACGTATCTTTGATTTGCAGTAAATAGTTCCAATTTTAGGAAATAAAAAATAACACCAATCATTCAGCTATATTAAAATTGAATTCTGTAAGAATAACGTCGGAGGTAAATGAAACTCTCGAGGATTTGCTAAAAGTTACCAACTTCAATACTTTGATCTTAAATGATTGTAAATTCACTCCTGAAACTATGAGCGAGTTTCTTAACATGCTAGAGTTTTACGAGTCCATTCGCCACTTTGAAATAGAAATGAATTTCGATGACCATGATACCTGGAAGTGTTTCTGCAACGCTTGTAGTAATATTATGGTATTGGAGTCCTTATCATTCAAAAAAATGGTCATTAATGAACCTTATATGCGGTCCCTGATAAGTACCATAAAAAGTAATTCCAATATTACAATGCTTAAATTCGATGGCTGTATGTTGGTCAAACTGCCAAGCTTTTACTTAGGTACGTAACATCTTTCATAAGTAACACTTGTTAAACCTGCTTATTCCAGTTGAAAATTTAATGATGAATCGTACTATTCGAGAGTTATATCTGCCGTCAACTGGTTTATATACAAAGGAAGCAGAAGTATTGGCTCGTTTCCTTACGAATAATACCCATCTCAAGTTACTCGATATTGGCAACAATTTTATAGGAGATCGTGGATTGGAATCGTTAGCAAAAGGGTTGTGTAAGCAAAATAGGCCCGGCTATGGATTGTCGGCTCTTATCATTTTCAATAACCAAATCTCCGACAAAAGTGGACCAGTTATAAGCAACATTATTGTACGTACATATTTTGTTTCCCGTTTAGCTGTATACGTTAAGGATCTGTACTTTTTCAGGTAGAGTGCAAAAACCTTCACACGCTTAACGTTGGCTATAATAACTTAACAGACGAAGTACTTATACACATAAGTGGTGGTTTGCCATTGACCACATCTCTCGAAGGTTTAGGTCTACAGTGCACCCTGTTAACTTGCAAAGGGATCAATATACTTGCCGAAGCGATTCAGAACAACCAGTCTCTTCAGAAAATCAACTTAAAGGGCAACAAAGCGATTCAAATAAATGGGGTAGAAAGCCTATGCCAGGCCTTAACAAAGTCGAAAATTTACAAAATCGAAATCGATGAAACCAACCGCTCATGTAACGTAAGTGTAATTACTTACTAGCCGGTAATTAATTTTAAAACTTGATATTTTTTCAGGATCCCGAAGCGTATTCTCAATTAGTAAAGAAGCTCTTTGCGATCTGCACTGTAAATAAATCTTTCGTCGACGGTACAGACGATGAGGAACTCGCCAACATTTCGCAGCTAATTTCCCGAAAAATGTCGTTGAGCTGTGAACCGAGATACACAGTCCCTGATCCTGCTAGTACGTTTCAAATAGGGTCGCCAGCTCTCTCACCTGTGCCATCTCCAGTGTCCAGCCCCGCGCCGAAGAGTCGGTTCCAGATAGTGAAAGTGAATGAAAATAACAGTAGTTGCAGTAGCACCAGTGTTAGTCCTAGCCCTAGCCCCAGTCCAAAGCAGAAATCCAGGTATTCAAATAGTGTTACAGTTTTAGACAGACTATTTTAATTCTCGGGCAAAACTTACGGTAGTTTTAAAATAAAAATTTTTATTAACCATGTCATTTAAAAAATTTTTGTTAATGTTATTGTGAAAACTAAATAACGCTTTTATTATAAATAAAGAACTATCCCCAATATGCAAGTATATTAGGAAATTGATTGTTTATAAATTAAATCGTAGGACACTAAAACATGTATTTTTTATATTATTTTTCGCAAAATTAATATTTTGTTCGGTGTAATTCTTTGTGCTTTTAAAAATAATAATATTAAACAAGAATAGCTTGCTGTTGAAAAAATTATTGAGATAATTAAGAGCGTTATTGTATGATTCATGAAGTTGGAATTTATAGTGCCTATAGTTCCAAATAAAAAGTACATTTTTTTTTGAATAACGTAATTATTTAACTGCTTAAATAATCCATCTTAATTAAATTTTAGTATCACTATACAGTACTATTTTTTTTTTTTTTAATAAAAACAAACTAGCAATAAAAAAATGATGAAGTGAGTACTTACATTGTAGGTTTCGTGTGACGAGAGTCCCCCCTTCCCCCGATGAAGAAATATCCTTAGGCCGTTTTGCCAATGTTCGCAGCAGTGTATCATCGAACGACAGCATGGATTCACTAGCCACTTTACACTTAGACAGTGACAGTGATTGACTGCTTCTTCTTCTTTCTCATGTGGTAGTACAAGCCCCTCTAAGTACTTATTTTCATTGGTATTAGTTCTGTGATAGGATGTGTTATTTTTAAAGCTTGTTTCAAATTTTATTTCCAATGCAATGTGATGTAAATCGTTACAGAACCTTACGGAGATGTATTACTGCTTCTACAGCAGCTTTTGTTTATGTATGTGGAATATTATATATCAAAAAGTAGACTCTTCCAGTAGCCTGGATAAGCGTTTATCGGATGTTTTCTTGCTTATTTTGAACGCTGTATGTACAGGATAGATTTTAATTCAAAAATAATATTAGGGGATAGACGATACTGCCTAATTTTTAAATCGATTTGTTTGAAAAATGTTTTCGATGCGCATTTTTCATTTGCCTTTTTACATCAAGATATCCTATGACTATATTTGACGGGTCGACTTGCACAATTAAAGAATCTAATAACATTTGTAATAATTGTTAAAAAAAAAACTTGTAATATAAATGTAATCTCGTTAACGTTCATTTTAAATATACGATTCTGAAAATAAAAATATACCCTATGTGGTGTATTTGTGCACCGTGATATTTTAAAATTAATTTTGTGGGTTTATAGTACAGTGATATTTGAGGACATGGTACAAACTAAGAAGTATTAATACAAACTGGCTGTTTTCGCGTGCATATTTTTTTGCTTAGAAAATGCAGTGTATATAAATATATAAATGGTTTTTAGATTCGTTTAATGTGTGTATTTCGTGAATTAGCTTATTATAGCTTAATTTATTTTTAAACGATAACAGCGAGTTACATGCCAAATCTTCGTCACTTTTTTTTGTTAACCTGTGTTGAGTGAATTTAAAATCGAATGTTGGTAGATTTGCACGTAATCTGCTAAGCACATTGTTCTTATTTTTTATTTACCGTTAAAAGAACAAGACATTTTACTTAAGATTCTGAGGTACAAATTTAGTTAAATAGATGATGTGGAGGAAGATGCATTGACAAATTTTAGCAATTTAGTTTTTAGTTGTTGTATTTGAGTAATTACAATAACACATTTTGTTTGATTTTACATTTTTTTTTTATAGTGCTTCTGTACATATTGTGAAAAATTGGGTGGTTTATTTAATAAACGCAAAGTTTCTTATATATTAATATATAAAAATTTAAGGTAAGGTATCAAAATTTTTTTTAGTGTATAGTCTTTATAAAAGGTTAGTCTTTGCCTCTCTCCTCAAGGACGTAATGGATGATCTAATCCAGTAGGATAGAGTTTCGCATGCTTTTTAAGTATAAGGGATTAAAAATTAAAAAAGGACTTAAGTCACAATAGGTTTGTATGCGAGATGTTAAAAATTTACTTGTATGTAGTATAGGTTTTTTACAAAGTAGCCTTAAGTGTGATTTTGGTTTGATATACGGCAACAAGTGCCCTATTGTAAAAAAAAAAACTATAAATACGGGATAATAGTTTTAAATTAAATATATTTTTATATTGATGTTGTTAGATATCTTGGGGTGTAAGAAACTAGTTAATAGAAATTTTTGGTACAAAACTTACTGAATAGTTCCATATTATTATTTTGTTAGTTACTATACCATTTGCGCATGCACTACGCATTTTGTTAATATAGTTTATTTATATTTCTGTGTATGTGATAAATGGATGTGATATTGTATGATATCTTAAGGATATTTTAACAAATAACCATTACTTGTAGATTTAATTGTGTTTATAATAAAACTTGTATGTTTCTGAAAAACATTTTATTAAAAAACAAAAAATCTGGGCGTCCCGTTTATAGTGTCATATCACCCACCATGTTCAACTTTTGCAAGTGCTTCGTCGACCAGTAAGAATACACTAAAATTTTGGGAGGAACAAAAAATGCATCATTGGGTATTCATTTTATTAATTTGTGGTTCATACCAGATTGATATTTAAATATGTCAGTGGCAACAACACAAAAATAGGTTTTTCATCCACATAGTAAGAACTAACTCCACTAAGCTGGCTGGAAAAAAATAAAAATCATCGATATGCACGGATAATTTTCAGTAATAAAATTTGATGTTCGAAAATGATTTTTTATTAGTAGAAAATATAAAAATATGCTACTGTGCTTACATTAATACGAATAAACAAAAGTTATCACAAAAAAATCTCGATCTCGAAAATGAGATGAGATTTTTAGATTAATAAAAAACATATAGATATGTGTAAAAAATTACACTACCTAGACAAAGTATCAAATATATTTTTATTTTTCCTGTAGAACTGCACCAATTTGGCAAAATATGGGTCATAGTCTTTCCCTCTTTCTTGGTGTATATAATGGATGATCTAAAACCAGCAAGATAAGGAAAAAAGGTACAAAAGAAACCAATTCTCACCTCTGCTTTAATGAAATCGATCCAATGAATTAACGCATCAAAGAGGTGGATTTGTATTTTGGAAGCCAACTGTTCATTTTCAAAAAACAACAATTTCAAAAGCGCCAACGTACATCGCTTTATTTCATTTTCAAATTCCTAAAATTGTGGTTAGTTAAAAGATTTTTTGTTAAAGTATAAAATGTCAAACTTGCCTTATAATACTCTTCCTTTTTATAATTAGGATCGAAACGAATAATTTGCTTCTCTACCTGTTTGATGATGTTCTGGTAGTAATGTTTTGGAGTTTGTTTCTCTGTGACTGATGTTTTCATAAGTTTAATAGTTGCTATTAAATCCAGCAAGACATTGAAAAAGTTGTCATCAACTTTACACTGGCCTTTAATTAAATCTTCTGTAACAAAAAATTATATATTTGAGGTACAGACATGTTTTATACATTCACCAAAAACTGAGGAAATTTCCATGAGTATGTTAAATTTCTTGTGAATAGGAAGTTGGAGAAAAAGAAACTCGAACATTTCTGTCGATGAATTAATTTTCGATCTAATTATTTCCAAGTCTCCATAGAACGTAGATGATATCGGATAATGTGAAAACTAAAACAAATACAATTACTTATGTGAAAACCACTTAGTTTAATAATTTTTTTTACCTTGCCGTACATATTAACATACATAATAATTGGTAAGTAAAATTTCGTAATATCGTTTTGATTCGACAGAACAAATCTTTTTAACAAAAGTTCTTTCATGAAACTCCTCAGATCATTACACCCCAGAATGTAAATAAATCTAAAGAAGTCTTCGGTCGTAAGTTTTATGTAATCTTCATGTATCAACTCTTCCAAAATGCTTGCACAAATTCTAACCAAACAAGGGTTTCCAGTCACCATTTCTTTAAACGAGAATTTTATCACAACGTTAAATTCGTGCGTTATTCTGAAAGTTATAAATAAAATACAACATAATAACACATATTTATGACAAAAAGTAACTTACTCTCTGCAGAGGCTGTACAGTAATTTAATAGTTACAACTTTCATAACACAGTCTCCACTATTTAAACTTTGTTGAAGATACTTCAACGGAATTGACACTTTGCTCTTATTCACCATAGCTATGGTGCAAAGCAACGTTAGAGTTTGTACATATATATCTGGCATATACGTTGTGATTACTAAAAAGTAGGAATATTAATTTCTGGAAACATTAAAAGAAAAAAGTATATACCTGACATTCTCGCTGCATTATCCAAACAATTTTTCAATATAAGAAGAATAGCGTCACTAGGAATGTTATTTAGGATTAAACATATTTCATTGAGATACAAAATAGAGTTGTTATCATCAAAATTCCTATCGAGTAACCTACGTAACATCTTTCTCGCGGTGTGACTAAGCAGTTCATTTAACTGGTCTTCGTTATCGGGTAAGCTCAAAATTCTACGTATCGTTCGGTACAAACTGAATATAGGTTTTATGCATTGTACAGGGAAATTTCGTTCGAATAACCCCGACATTATTGCGCTTTGAATGACGTCTAGTTGGGGGTGAGTTAAATCTGAAACCACTCGGTTTTTCAGGATTGTTTCAAGCGCAGTACAAACGTAACCCACTGTCATATGACCAGAAAGCTGCAAAATATAAATTTTTTATAAAGATTAATTAGTACGATTAGATCTTACTTACATTGGAAAAGTTATCGATAACATATGGCACTAATGTACTTATATCCATATATAAGCAGTGTTCCAGAAGGCAACATAGTAAAATTCCACTACAAGGTTCTTTGTAATCTAAATTTTTAATTGCTAAATGCACTTCTCGATCTCTAAAACCATACAACTCTAACCAAAAGTAATAGTAATGATACAATTTTACCTTATGAGATTGTTACATTTAGTGAATAATGCCTCATAGTCAAAACTGGACGTTAAATATATTCTGTAGTAATACTTTGGAGAATATGTTTTGCCGTAGACGACTGACGGTTTTAGCATCCCGTTGAAAATATGCTGCAAAATTAAATAAACACAAAAAATATTATCTACTCGATTGTTGGTAACTTACATTAGCATACATAAAGTAGAATTTATCATTCGGATAAACGGCAAACTTATGTACAACACGCAACAACATTTCCGCTATATGAATTTCACCACGCTCGGAAGCAGCCAAATAACTCACTTGAAGAGTTTCTAATAAGCCATCAAAGGTTTTTGGATTAGCATCTTTAATTATTCCATCTAGAGCCTAAAATTATAGCATCATAAAAAATTTCATTAAGTTAAGTATTACGTAACGAACCTTTTCAACCATTATCGGATTCAAGTTTGGCGTTACGGCAACAAAACGTGAAAATATTTGAAATAGTTTTCTATTCCTGGGTGACCATGTCTGGTTGGCAGCACGTGACAGACCTAGTAAGACCGATTCTATCGGCATGTTTACTAATTTTCGAGTTGCTCGTACCTCCTAAAATTAAAATAGTGAGAACGTATCACTGTCTTTAAAAATAAATCTCACAGCAAATATGTATTGGTGGAGAGGGTTAGTTGCAGCATCACTAATATCTTTAAAAACATCTATCGCTGAAGACACAACTTGTTCTTCGCTATTCAAGATATGATGTAGAACATTGCCTACTGTACATGAATATAATACAGTTATCTTTTCAAGAGCAAAATTCGGAGGTACTGTTAGAATTTCACGGATCAGAAAAAAAACATTTATTAATAACGTTTTTTTATTCTTTGGTGCAGTTAACGTTATCATTCGCCTCAATAACGTTTTATAGTGTTCCTCAGGAAGTATGTTCATTATTTTAACTGTATCCTGAAATCAATACATTGCAACTAATTCAAAAAATATAAATGAAATTAATATTTTCAGTTAGTTTCATTTATTATTCTATAACGCTTACCTTAAAATTTATTGGTTCCTCTGAAGCCCAGTTATCTCCAAAACCATCTAGAAAAGAATCAATTTTCCTTTCAAAAGCTTTAATTTGCAATGTTCCTTTTAGAAACAAAATAATAATATCCACAGCTAATTCACAATTTGGTATAAGATCCAAATATTTTTTTTTTATGCACCTGAATAGTGTCCGAGCGATGATTTTTACAAGGTTACGGCTACTTGTGTGAAGTATAATTATGCGCAGAGCCTTCATACAGCATGCCGCCAAGTCAGTGACTAAAAATTATTAAATATACACTTTATAAACTAAATAAGATTATACCTATTATGCACCTGTTCCACAACGAATCATTTTTTCTGATGCTCCAATTATCATAGATACTACAATCACATTAGCAGATGCCCCCAACATCTCACTATCCAGATGTTCTTCCTGGAGACAATGCCTTTTTACTAATTTGATAATAGTTTCTTTCCGATCATTACTTATATCACGACTTCTCATAAGATTAACTGCTGTTGATAATTGACACATGTACATTGACTTGTTAAAAAACAATTTCCCAACTTCAGGTAGTATTGTAAGATTTAAATATAAAATCGATGCAGTTAATTTGGTTTTGTCAGTCACAGTTGAATTTGGTTTAGTACAAAAAAACAAAAATGTTATTAAATATGTCTTGTGGGTACCATCGAGCAACTGTAAGTTTTCACTAGGCAATTTTGAGCATTTAAACTCAAGTATTTTAACGTATTTATGTAAATCTACTGGTAGATGATCACGATATTCTGTAAGTTTATCGTCATGTAGACCCGGTGACTCCTTCTTTGTCAACTGATCCCACAATAAAGTTATTATATTTTTGTCACTTAGTTTTTCACAGTGCAACCGTATCAAGCCAATAAAATCATGATCTGAAAAAAATATTATATGCTTTAAAATGTATTTTTTGTGTTTGAAAAGACAATATACCTGACTGTAAAAATATTTGGTGTTGGTTATCCATTTTTCTATTGATAAAGCTGCTAATAGCAACACTATCCAGGGAAAATATTTTAAATTTCTATGTTTTTTGACAGGAAAAATGTCCACACATTTGTTTACACAAGCTAGCGCATCTTTTGACGTTTCTAGTATTTACAAAACACTGAATGTGATCCAAGTGAACTGACGGAAGTAGAACGAGTGTGAAAGAATACAGTCGTATTCCATCTTTTTTTTTATTTTTCAAAAAATATCTAATACGTATGTCACGGAGAAGTTACGGGTAACTTTTCCCTGCTATTTAAAGTTTTAACTGTTTTTGGCATCTATACCACAGGGTAAAACAACTGCCAAATCGCAGAATCCTATTTAATGAAAATTGTTACTTTTTCCAAGGACAATTTATACCTCTCTCTGCCTTTGTCTATGCGGTACATCATCATCTACTATTTCCAGGAATTTCAATTAAACAGGAAAAATACAAACGCAATTTTGCCATTAATTGTTATTATAATTTTTTTATGAATATTTGTATTTACGTAAATACATGGAGTTTCACCAAAGGAAACGACCCTATTGGGTGGATTAGAAATGATTCATCTTACCGATTACACAGAATTTATAATCCTATTCTGTGCCGATTAGGTGCAAATGTCAGACATCAGAAATTTAATTTGTTGATAGTTGGAAAGTGATGTCATTTGTTACGCACAAATCAAAAATAGGGCTCAAAAGCAAGAAAAAGCCACCTCCTAGGCCTCCACCTCCACATTTTGCAAAATATAAGAGTAAGTCTTCGTTTAATTTAAACCAACCCCTCGAAAGTCTAATAGAATGGAGCCCACCGCGCTCTCCAACAGTTGATAGAACCCATACCTTTGGGGGGAGTGTATCCAGTTCATTCAGTAGTAGTACAAGTAGTTTAGCTTCGAGTAAAAAAAGTTTTGAATATGATGTACCAGTGACAAATAATTTATGGCCAATTAACACAAATGGTAATTATCAAAACCACCCAAAGCCAACACTCCAACAAGCTGTCCAGTATGGAAAACCAAATGTATCGGCACCAGTACCAAAACAAGCTAGCATTCCTAAGCAAAGTAATGTATCAAAAGTTAATGTACCAACTATATTTGGACCAACGATAATAAGAGCTCAAGTACCTAAAATTAAACCAAGTGAACGAAAACAGAATAACAGTGATCCTCCATCACCAGTTCTACCAATGCCATCGGTTCCGCCTCCCAGCCCTCCTAAGGAAGCCTCAGATGTCGATGTGCCTTTTGGCATTGCTTTGTATGATTACCAAGCAACAGATCCTAGAGACCTTTCATTCCAAGTATGTTTCCTACTTTTATTAAATTTTGGAATATCATCTAATAATTATGCAGTTTATTAAAGGAGGTCATTATTGAAAAGTTGTTCCAAAAATCTTAAAGATAAACTATTGAGTAATAATGTAACAAATAAAATTTGTCGTAAATAATAACTAAATTTTGATGTATCAGTTTGTTAAAGTTAAATCCGTTGTTTATCATTTATATTTTTCATGTGACTTATTTATCACGTATACCTTATTAACAATATAGTAAAATTTATGATTTTAAGAATAAAAGGGAAATAAAATAAAATACCATTTTAGGTCAACGATGTAGTAATTCTCTTACGGCGTATAAACAGTGAGTGGTTATATGGAAAAGTTCTAGACAAAGAGGGGATGTTTCCAGCAAATTTTATAGATATTCAAGTGCCCCTATCGGAAGATGCCAACACTGTGATGGCTTTATATGAATTTAATCCACAAATGGCTGGCGATCTGGCATTAAAGCCTGGTCAGCTAGTTAAAGTTTTAAGAAGAATCAACAACGATTGGCTCTACGGAGAATGCAACGGTCAAACGGGACAATTTCCTAGCAACTTTGTAGATCGAATTCCAAATATATGAAAACATTTAACTGCAGGTGCAAATGTTTTCATTAATATTTTTAGCTGATAATAAAATTTAACGTTCTTTATTGTAAATTATTTTGCAGTCTTTTTTGTTGTATAAATATAATTTTAATAGCAGGGTTAGGAATTTGAAGTATTAACATGTGATTATTGTTACTGGAAATGTTTACACACATTACAAATGTGATAATAACGTGCCTTATGGCTTATTTTTGTGTAATATATTTAATATTCATTAGTTTTTACTGTAGTTCTCTTATGTACCATATTTAACATTAATATATATTGTTTTTATTATGATCCTTTTTTTTTGTGTAAATAATTCTGGTATTAACACGTCGTACAGGGTGCTTAGAAACTCGAAGGGGATATTTGAGGAGTAAATAAATCGATGTGCGAAAATTTATTGACAGATGTTTATTGCAAATAAAACTTTTTTGAGACTACTAGTTGGCGGCTTGTCAGGTGACGTGCCGCTTTACCTAAAATTTCCGTTTTGTTGTGCAATTTAAAATTATTTTTAATTTTATATAAATTTTATAATTTAGGTATAATTGCAGAAATGTTTCCTATGTATGATCCAGTATGTATTTTATTGGAAATACCATTTTCCAGATGGAAAATTGAGAGAAGGATTTTTTAAATTGCGAGACCTGTGCTTTATTCTCTGGATATGGAAAAAAGGGAAAGTCAAAAGACAACGTGTACATTCGAAAGTTTCGGAGTGAATGGTACTCGGAGTATAAGGGGTTGTGCGAGTGTTCATTTAAAAAAGAATTTCTGCATGCCGTGTTTAATTGTGGGTGTAAAGTCGGGCTTGTGGAATAAGGAGGGCTTTAACAATTTTGGGAACATCACGCGAGGTTGTCGTAACTACAAAGCTTCTTTGGAATATACATGTACGGTGTGAATTAATGTTCGCAGAAGTCCACAAGTCGAACTAATATTTCTATTTTTTATAAAATCTGAATGAAAATTCTTTTCACCAACGTCAGTTTTTCGGTAATACTGCAAATGCAACTAAAAATTTCCAGATTCATTTAAAGCCATTTCACTTTTTGCCAGTAGCGCTTTTTTTTTACTCAATCAATGCTTCACCTATTTTCAATGTCATGAGCCACCACTGCCACTAGTTCCACCGATAGTCGATAGTTCTGCCTCTGCTTACAAGTATTGGTGTATGCCTATTTGGAAATCGCTGAATATAAAGATGTGCAGTTTTCATTAGCAATTCCATATATTATCACTGTGTCGATTAAATTCATTGTTACTAATACACGTTTCTGTAATGAAAACTAAGGCAGAATTGACGACTACCTAAAATTGAACCAGCAATATTTTTGTTTACCATAAAGCCGGAAAAAGTGGACGATAGGCTATTTACGACACGACCACAAATATTCACAACTTTTTATGTAATATATAACCAGCATAATTCCAGATGTTCTAAATCATTTTTAATTATATAATTAATTAATTTTAAATACCAGTTAACATTTTCGGTAAATTTGATTATTGAACTACCTACTATTAAAACATTCTCTCCAAGTTTGCAAACACCCTGTATATTCAGAAACGATACATTGATATTAGTACAAAAATTATCTTCAACTACACACGCAAAATAAAGCACTATACATTTATTAACAATTTATTAGAAATTACAAGCAACAGGTAAAGTAACCTTAAAATTTTAAATTTATTCTAAATCGATAATATTTGATATGGGGAACCAATTAATCCAATTAAAGAAATAACAAATTGCACTAATTTGAAAATTACACTTAATAAACAACAATAATCACCCGTACTAACAATAAAATTTGCGAACATCAATTTTTACAATAACTAAATACATAGATAGATAACAATAACTTATGTTTATGATAATTATGGAAGAAACATGCCAAACTTATAAGTATGAAATTTAAAATATTTGTACTACCGAAATAAAAGGTTAATAAAACTTATAAGTTTTAAAAATGAATGTCAATATGTCTATTATCACATAGATATCATTATTTACAAAGTAAATAAGAGATTCAGTAAAACTTAACCATTTAAGTAAATGTAATATATACAATAGTGGTAGACGGTAGACATTCGCTAGTCTGGCCTGTAGATCGGTATTTTTGGTAAAAATTCAATGAGTATTACATACTCCATCATCGAAGAAGAGTCGCACTGTTGTTTGCTTAAACGCCAATGTAGTCCTAATTTATTGTAAAGATAACTATTCTCCCATTCTAGAAGTTTATTTAATGAATGCTGAGTCTAAAAATAAATCGGTGAGTATTAAAAAATTCTTCGTGGATAAGAAAATAACTATTATTACCCTTTTGCTAAGGCATATAACAGGCCATAGGGAGCAACCTAGGGTGCAACAACAGCAAAGGCATCCACAAAAAAGCCACTTAACATTAACAGGAAGAGTTTTTTTCAAAATGCCATTGATACGCATAACAGTTTCCTTAAATTCTTCTGGAGCTACTCTCGATACTAAACCACTAGGAAATTCTGTACTAAATCTATTGCTTAATCCAAACCTAAAAAATACAATAATGTGAAAAAAAATTATAAGATACAAGAAGTAATTAAGGAATTCATGCTAACTTGTTAGAATTTATTCACGTACACTGTCATATTTCCAGCACCCCGTATCACTACAGGATCTGGAACCAGAGATATATCGGTAGGCTCAATTTCTTCATTATTTTCTATTTCCGCTTCATAGTAAATCGCATCAAAACCTTCCATGTGTCTGTAACACCGTTTAACGATGAAAAAAAAGCATTATTCAGGTACTACTTTCCACATGTAATTGTTTTTCGCAAATATACGTACTCAGGATGGCTTACCTTGCTAAACACGAACTTTCAGAGCTAGAAGGTTATGGTCTAATATTAAATAAATAAGAGCACTGGATAAGCGATTATTATTTGATTATTTAATTAAATTCTTTGTTTACTTTCTTGTCCTGCAATCCATGGTTAAAGTTGACAATGACTACGACAGACCTGCCATCTGCAACTACTTGTAGTTTTGTTCACAGAATCTAAAATTATTTGGAAATATATATGGTGTCAGAAATATTTCAAATTAAGAATGAAGATAGCCTTTGAATTCACATGTGGGAGTGTTTCAAGTATCAGCAGCGGCTGCTACAAAACTACTGTGTATTTCACTTATTTCCTTTTGGATTTTGCAGTTTCTTTTCAACAAGAAATTTTAGTTAAAGATGAATATGAATTTGCTTTTGTAAGCAATCATTTGTATGTTTACAATTGTTAGTTATTAAATTTTAAATATATTTCTAAATGGTGTAACTTAGACACTGCCATACTGCTATACCATGGAATAATCATATACTTTGTTTTTTATTCCATTGATTTGGATTTGTGGTGACATCTTTCTGTCATTAAATTTGACGTAAAAAAATTGGAAAATATATACCTAGTATTTAAATTCGTAGGGAGCAAGGCAATCGCCAATTTAGATAATTGTTACCAAATGGCTGCTGCAAAATTACATGAAGATATTAACAATATTCCTTTAGCTGATGATGACCCACAAGGTAATTTTTTGTAACAAATTACGTTTGCCCTAAATCGCAAGTACTAATTGATTTTAGTGATTATAAATGATGAGCCAGACCCCAATTCTATGTCGGAAGGGAATTCTTCCAGCATGATTCACGGAAGAAGCATGGATTCCATACAATCAACTTTTACTAATGGAAGCTCCAGTCCGCAGCACAATAGTTTGGAACCCGATACAAGCCCCGACGAGCAAGAAGAAAAGGCCCGTTTGATATCTCAAGTTCTTGAATTGCAGAATACTTTGGATGATCTCTCGCAACGGGTGGATAGCGTGAAAGAGGAGAATCTAAAATTGAGATCTGAAAATCAAGTGCTCGGGCAGTATATAGAGAATTTGATGTCTGCCTCAAGTGTTTTCCAGTCGACTTCACCAAAGATCAAGAAGAAGTGAAAGTACTGTTTTTAAATAAGTTCACAGTGTTATTTATTGTATTGTTTTAAATGTTCCAATTGTACAATGTGCACTGTTGCTTTTTTTCACTATGTTGCACCAAAGTTTGCACCATAACAACTTCAGCCTGTGATTTTTTGTGACCAGTGAGGATCATTTTTCCATTATTTTCATATTAATTGTAGCTTATATAAAATATAGATAGGTATATGAATCTTGAGAAGTAATTTATATAAATTATTTGTAGATAAAATGTGCTTAAAGTTGCCATAAATAAAGTGCTAAGATTACCGTACAGAATTTTAATCATTCTCGTAGCTAAATATGATTTTTCGTATTTCTATTTTTTGGGAGAACTATAAATGGCAGAGGGAAAAATAAAACCCATTTGTATAAAATAAATGTTATTTTCTCAATATGAGATATACTTACGATATTTACAAAAGTAAAAAATATTTTTGGTTAATAGTATAAAATCTGAATAACTAAAATTTAACAGTTCATTATAAATTTTTGCATATGGCAGCACATATATATATATTTTAATAGGCAGGTACAAATATTTATTAGTAAATTCTGTTGTAAAAAAGTATAGTGTTATATCGAACCTGTTTACACATTTAACAAAAATAAAATTATATACAGGAACCAGTTTCTATTTTACATTTATATCACAATAATTATTTAATAATTATGTTTTAAATTTCAGAGTAATTTAAAAAAATTATTCGTAAAATTTAACGATTATCACTACTTAATAATTGATCACATTCAACTTCAGATCTAAAAAGATTTGTGTGTACTAGCTTGTGATGGCTTGTGAAAATTAAAGAGGCTTTTTAGGGGAAGGTTTGTAGACTCACGTGACGATAAAATCTCAAATGAAATTTGCAAAATAAAAAATTAATATCTTCTTGAGATCACGAAAAAGGTTTTAAGTCGACTAATAGATAAATACGAGCTTTTTTTATTTTTCACTACATTTAAATATTTCTTAAAGTTTGCAACATGGAATACTAGTAGCTATCAAATTAAAATTTAAGTATATAATCAATATCAATCTTTCGAGATGTGACACTTTAATTTTCACAAGCCGTGACAGATACTAGTTTAAATTGAAGAAACATGTGATTGACATATTAAGCAGATTTTCACATAAAATAAATTAAATGTCCTTTCAAGTCTTAAAATATTAATCAGTCGTACAAAAATTTGTCACTTTCATATTGCTTGGAATGTCCGTTTCTAACTTCATGACTATTACGCTTTAGAGTCATTGTTGGAATTTCATAATCATCAACATAACACTTAATCGATTTTACAGTTCCGTTTGATGGGTAAATATTAGAGCCGGCTGGCTTTTTGGGCATTTTTTCACGAGTAGGCACTGAAATATATGGGTTTTGCTCTGCAGTTATATAGTGTGGACTACTAGGAATGGTATTTTTCTTCTTCCTAAACAAGTAGTACGCTAAGTATATAAGGCTGGGCATGAGTCCCACGATGGCACCGATGAAGAAAAATGAAAGACCCGTCGAAACGCAAGAGTAGTCTTCAGCTTGAATACCAAGTGGATAAATTTCTAAAACAAAGGTAGGATGTCACCTGTGTAATTACCGTTATATGTAAACAATTTACCATTTGATAGTTCCCCTAAACACATTCTAGTTTCTATTTCCCTCCCTTGACACATTTGCGGGCCTGGATTCGGGTGATAGCATTTTCTTTTTCTATGTTGCTCGTTGTTTTGATCACACAAAGACCATTCTGTCCAGTTGCCCCAACCCAAAACAGCTGAAAACGACATATATATATATTATAAAGTTTTAAATAGGTATTAATTAACTTACATTCACAGGGTTGATCTTCACAAGGCTGCTCCTCCCTGGACGGACCTTTACAATTGTGCCCCAGGCAAGTCCTTGTCCTCGTTTTAGCACCCCAACCACAAGAAACATTACAAGGAGACCACTCCGACCAGCATCCCCAGGTATCTTCGCAACTATGACTGTTACACTCTCTAGATTGTTCTGATTCACCTGGACAACTTTTACTTCTACTTTTGCAGTGTCGGGTTCTTCGTTGGATGCCCCCACCGCAGCTACTTGAGCATTCACTCCAACTCGACCAAGAAGTCCAACCTAAGTGGTCGTTTTCATCTGAACTGCAATGCTGGTTAGAGTGACATATTTGCCCTTCATCCTTCACGATGATTTTGATCTGATTTGCGTACTTCACGGGAGCTTTACATGTTATCTTATATCTTCGCTTATGATACGTATTACTAGATATATTCATGTCAGTAAACCATTCCGTGGTATGAATTTTTCTTTGTTCATTACATGAGTGTTCGTTACATCTCTCGTACTCAAGATTATTTCCTTTACAGTTCTGTCCGCCGTTGTAAGGTGAGGGCTTGTCACATTTTCTTTGCCTTGTTTTGTAACCGCCACCGCAATTTGCAGAGCAAGGAGACCAAGACGACCAGGGGCCCCAGCCTCCGTCAACAGGTTGCGCCGGACATGGTGGTGACTCTGTACAAAAAGCCTCAGTGCGATCTTGGCCTACACAGACTCTACCGCCAAAAGCTGGGGCAGGGTTTGTACAAGTCCTGGATCTGGTTTTAACAGCAGTGCCGCAAGTAGCAGAACAGGCTGACCAAGCTGACCAATCTGACCACCCTCCGTGCACAGTACAGTTTATCACAGCTACCGAGGGACCAGTGCATGATTTGCCGTTATTGGTCGGGGCGGGATTGTTACACTGACGCGTTTGGCAGAGACAAGTGTCCAGAGGGTCTACATCAGAAGAGATACGATGGTAACAAGGGGCCCAATCGGACCAGCTACTCCAGCCTCCATCTACGGGTGTATCCACGATAGGGCATGAGTGCAGCTTTTGCTTCCAAAATCGGTTGTGAGGTTCCCCATTAGGTGCAACGGTGCATGTTTCTTCTCTTTCATTCCAACCACAGTATGGGTCCATTGAATTTATGCAGTTTTCCTTAGAAGTATGTCTCTTACAATGGCTTGCAGTGATTTGCATCAAACCTTTATCGGTTGTGATGTAAATTGAATTTGTTTCTTTTAAGAAATGCATATTTCTAATCGGGATGTTCGTTTCAGGTACTGTTCTCCAAATTTCCACAAGACAAGCTTCTCTATGCCTAGGAAGTACCGTCAGTTTTTTAATCAAGCCTTCTTCATTAGCAACATATATGACATGGGTGTTACCTAGCTTTGTGTTAACTACATCTACAGTGATATGTGAGAAACGTTCTAGTGTCACAACATGTAAAGGATTTAAACTAGTAGCTTGCACCGCAGAATCCATGAGTTGGTATTTAGAAGTTTCTAATAAGTAATTATTATGTTGTGCTCTTTTGCATTCAAAGTGATCTCGATACGGAATATCATGTTTACTCCAAGCACTTCCCATGTCATGCTGATATTTGAAAGGGCCATTAAATGCATCATTAATTGCCGATAAGTTAAAAGCGCACACTGCCGAACCCGCTATGCTGTTTGGAGATGTCGTAAAAGTAGCATATACGATATTTTCGTCAGGTACATAAGACATACTTTGAATTTCATTGAAGTAAAACGGATAGTCACCACTAATAGAACAATTCAGTCTCGCTTTGATGAATGTTGTCCAATTATCTCTAAACATAGTATGCCCTCCTCCACGATCGTTTTTGCAAACCCTTGCGATTCGGGAATAAATAACTTTACCACAGTTTATATATTCAACAGCTGCCTCCCGGAATAAGAAATAGATAAACTTTTCACTTTCAAAAGAACCTACGAACTGAGGTTCGTTCAACCAGAAGCTATTATATTGTTGCGTCCGTAGCATTGGGGTACTCCCAACACTTTTAGAAATCAACGAGTCTGACCCAGAGAAGTCCGTGGTGCCACCAAAGTAGTATTCTCCGTTCTCTGACAGAAACCCTGTTACATTAGCCGATGGATTGTAGGGGCTCTTTGCAATTCCATCCACTACTTGTGTTACGTTTGATATGTTGTCAATCTGAAAATAGTGACTGTTAAATTATGTTTTCTTTTTACATGGTTTTTCAATCATACTTCTCTCCACGAGCAAAGTGGGGAAAAAGCATATGTTCCACACGCAAAAATTTGTCGACCATTAGTTAAAAGAATTTTAATATAATTGTGGCAACTTTCTTCACTTTGTCCTTTGTCGACACAAAACGTCATCTTGTTTGGAGACGCTTGCCATTCGGCATATTCTAGTAATGCTAACTTTGACAGGGAAAGTCTATACAGTCCATCTCTAAAAAAGATGATTCAAGTATACTGCTACGATAAAAAATGTTTGTAAAATTTACCTAGCTCCAACAAAAACCTGACTTCGGGAAACATCAAAAAGCATTTGAGAGTAAGAAGTGGCTCCTTCCGAAAAGAATACATTGACAGAAGGCTGTAAGTCTGAAACATAATGGTTTATATTAATATCTACCCATATATGAATTTAATAGCCATATATTAAAATGTATATTAGTGTAATTTATTGTAAACTGTTCTTATGGGCTTCTTATTAATTTCTATAAATATGTTTCGCTTTTAAATAAATCGACTTTTTGCTGGAAAAATTATTTAATTATAGTTCAGTTATTAATAATAAAATTGAAAAATTTTAATTATATCGAAATTCTAGGGTGGTTTAATTTTATATTTGTAATTTTATAATTCATTGTAGTCTTCACGTCCTCGTATATTGAATTTGTAAAAAGCAAAATAATTCCCTAGCATTGACATCTAGCGGTAAAATATGTGAAGTTTCCTTCTTATAAGTAAAGTCAACTGTACTTCATAAAAATATTTTTGTAGGCGTCTATAATAACAATGTAAAAAACTGTTTAAATTTCTTTACGGCTTAGGAGTTCTAGAAGTAGATGAAGACACCTGATTATTACCTTTACTATTTAATCCATTTAAAATTCTACGAACTGTGGTAGCATGCATACTGTCATCAAGTTATATTTATTTAAGCAAATAAGAAAAAGTTTATTATACATTTAACTCGATTTATAGAGAAAACGATAAAAATTATGACTCGCAGCATCTCCAGGCACAAGACAAGTGCTGTGTAAACATAATAAACACTTATCTTAAGTCAAATAAAAAATATACGACACCAAACAAGATGTTTGGACTCACGTCTGTCTTCCTAATTGTCAGGTACCTACCTACAACCTTACGAAACGTACAAGAAAGATACACTTTTGTAAATTATGAAAATTTTTGGCCAAAGAGCTTACGAGAAAGTTGTAGGTATAAATGAAACAAAGCAGTTATCTCTAGTGAACTTTTCCCTAGACAGAAGGGAGTCTGGACTTTTTCAATGCATACATTTGATTATAGGCTATGGACCCTAGACCCTGTAAACATCTCTTACAAAATGGTACACAAATGCGTAGTGAGATTTTTTAAATTAACTACGAAAGCATTTGAAACATTTGAGTGGCCGTGTTAAGGAAATATTTACAGATGAATATTAAACCCACTCTATTTTTAAGAACTCATTGTAATACTTATAATTTGCATACCTACTATACTTTAGAAAGTATCTTATTATATTTTAATTCGTGTATTAATACATAATGACAAAGGGAATCCGCATCTTGTTTCATGTATTTATTACTTTCGATCAAGTGGGCAAAACCAAAAAAATAATAGTAGGCCTTGTAGACAAGCGTTACTGTAATAACCTCAATTTTTTGGCGTCTAGTGCGATGCGATTTGTCCTTGTTGTTTGTATATTCACTGCAATTTTTGCAAAATTATCAAATGTAATTTAGATAGACTTATCCTTGTGCCTTAGCTTGTGAGTTAATAGTGTTTGTTTATAGACACAAAAAAGTGAATACCAAAACCGGACCGACTTTTTCAAGAGATGAAAGAAGTTTGGCAATCTCAGTATCAGTAAGTGATTTTGTTAATTTATTTTATGTACAGAACTTGCTATTTTTTAAAAATATTTGGATGCATGGATACCTACAGCATAGCCCGTGATTTGAAAATTATAAAAGTAGGTATGCTTTGTGCAATATTCTGAGAACTGAGATTTCAAAACAATTTTTTATATACGACAGTCAGAGTGACACAAAAATAACGTTGTTAATCTTTTCCAACACTTCAAATGTTAACAAACAGGCACTCATGATAAGATTATAAAATATATAACTAACCTAAAATAAATCTGTAGGTAAATAATCAACTTGATAACATATATTTGTCAATTTTTCTTTTATACTTAATTGCAGAACTCTAACAAAAAAGGGGTATTAAAATTTGACATCCAATTTATATTTGTTAGTTCTGTTTAGGCTTGACCCTGTTACACAAAGATTAGATATCAATAATTGGCAATAAATTCAATTATTTGAAAACTATTTATAGCATCGTAAGGGGCAATAAATAAAAATTCTGTAAGGAATTAATGTTATTTTGCTAAATGCATTTTTTATGTTCAGAAAAATCCTGTTTGATATAATAGTTATTGTGGACTAAGAAACTACTAATGGGTTAGCATTGCTGTAAAGCATATTTGATTTTGTTGTCAATTTTATACATAGCACTTATAAATACAAAATTTTTGTTTTACCTTGGTAGGATATATATCTGAAGTCATTTTGGATTATATTTCCAGCAGTGGAGTACAGGGTTAACAACCAAACCTGGAAAGCTCTTGCAAGGCCATTTGGTATCATTATAAATATTCTCTGTAAAAAAAATACGTATAAGAAAAACATGTTTTCTACAAGTAGCATTTCGCTGTTTTAAAATGATTAGGTTTTACTTCATTCTGGTAATGTTTATTTAATTCTTTTATTATTTTATACATTATCTAGGAAAATGTTTCGTTAGGTGCGTCATCATAATTAACTGAAAATGATATAATTTCATTTGTAAACAATAACATATTTAATAATTCCAGGAAGGCAGAACCTTACAAAATATATTTTAATTTTGCTTAGCTTATTAAAATATGAGCTAGTGGCCGTTATATTGTTTCTGTAAAATTATCAGGTGTTACTTTTGCTGACATATTTCCATTTCTTATACAGAAATATAATACTTGTACTTATATGACGTATAACAAACCTTAGGCACATATCTAACCTTTATTATCGGAAAATTTGTTTAGGAATTGTGAAAACAATTTATTTCTCTCGGCATCCAGGAAAAAAGTTTTGGGGAGGCCGAAACTTAACTAAATATTCGTGAAAAAGCGATTTGTAACGAAATAAATTCTATTGAATTGAACTTTTCTGTAATTGTTTTTACGTCTTTTTATATCAAATTAATTTATTTAAAATTTGTTTTTGAAAAAATGACAAAAAAATGTGCTACTACAAGGAATAACTTCCGTGGTTGTTTAAGGGTAATTTTTGACCTGCTTTTGCCTAGATTCATTGTCGATTTCACATTTTCTGACGTTGTTTTCTACAAAATTGTTTTATGCTAAACAGACTCATGTTGCGATACTATCTGGTTTTTACCTAACCAATTTCGGTTTTGGGTTTCTACCTGTTCCTATTTTTATGTTAATTATATACCTACTACAGAGTATAATGGTTACATATACAGGCTGTCTTACGGTGGCGGCCCATTAGAATATTTCAATTTAAGCTTTAGGGTTCTCTTTTTAAAAAAAATTGCATTTTTCTTGTCAAGCAAATAATTGATACTTGTAGAATACTAAATGACAATACCAATATTTGCCTTTCAAAACACATTTGATGATATTTTTAACGTAGGTAATATTGTTGGGAATGTAAGAAAACCGCAAATATCTGAGAAAATAAAAAATTAGACTTTCTATATGGTGCAAAAAATACGGGGTGTTCTATTTGAATTTAAAAAGTTTTGTCGGTTTTAAGTTTTAAAAATGTTTTTTCGAAAATCTGGAAAACAGTGAGATTTAGGTACAGATAACATTTATCTTGTCGATAATGCAATAATATATAGGGTATTCCCTTTTAAAATAAGCAGGTAGATGGCAACTTCTGGTATAACTGGAAGTGCTACAGCAATTGATTGATTGATTGATTTATTTTATTTAAAGAGAGCACCCCCCGAAAACCCCAGGGCTAAAATTTTCGAAATTCAAATCTAGTAGTCTTTGAAATATTCTAATGGGCTGTAAGACAGCCTGTAATTTACTTTTGAAATGTTCTAATCGCTATTCGAATTGACGTAGTACTGGAATATTAAGAACGTACATTGTTTTTATTAAACTTGAAATGCTCTTGAGACAATAAGATATTATATCTGCTGCAATTTAAGTAGATGCTACGATTTTTTTCGATACATCTATTATTAAAATGCGTTTTAAAATTAAATGCTTTTCACAAATTGCGGGAATTCTTAAATTATACTGACTAGTGCGAAAAGTGGCCTTTGGAAGCAATATCAGAAAGGATCTGTTAAGTTCTTATTTATTGTTTAAATTCAAGGCACATGCCAAACATCTGTTTGAAATTTTGAAGCATATGGCTGAGCAGAGATTCAAACATCAGGCAAATCACAGTCAGAAATTCAGTTTTTACGGCAAATATTAATTTATCATATATTTTAAGCTTTATAATTACTTCTATCAATAATTTTACATACATGTAGGTGTAGATGTAAGGAAAGAGCGAGCAGGCCTCGTTTGTAAAACCTTTTTAACTATTTATGGAAATGTAAAGGAATCTATGAATACAAAATTAGAATCTCATAAAATATCAATAAAAGAAAAAAAAATAAAAGTCTAGTTTCACTAGGCCATAATGTATATATGTAGATAAAAATTAAAGCGCTCATTTGAATATTGAGGTTTACACACAACATATTATTTACTGTGCAACTCGGGACGTAAAAATCTTCATAGAAAACTTGTCTATCGTCCCGAGACTAGTTTCTAAACTGTCAAATGTGTTATCACTTCTTTATGATGAGTAACTGTTTGAAAATTCTTAGTTAACGCTGGACTTTTTCTATCAAGATCTCAGCCCGGAACTTGACAGAATAGGCCCGCATGACCGAGCACAGATAGGTTTTTGTTTACAAAATTTTAAAGGGGGCCTTATACAGGGTGGAAACTGCAACTGGGTGGACTGGGATTTTTCAAATCAAGTTTTAGCCACAGTTTTTTTAAGAAATAATTGTATTGCATCGAAATTTGGTACAGATGGGTTCTTGAGGACGGTTTTTCTTGGATACAATTTAATTTTACACAAAAGAGACTTTTACCGAAACGTAATTTAATAAATAGTAACAGGTTGGTTCTGCTTAATATTACATTAAAATAATAACTATAGCGTATACGTACTATTGTCACCTTCAATATTTATAATTCAAATTTGTTTTACCCGTAACCTTGATCTTCTGTTTAAGGATTGAAGGCTTGTAGTTTTTAAAAACAAAGTGGGAGAGTTATTAAACAAAGCTGAGGTAGTGGTTCCTACAAATCTCGTAAGACATTAAGAAAATTAATTCTTGTTACATAGTTATGATAATCAGCTTTTTGTTTTGCTTTTGCCTTTGCATAATTAAAATCAGCTAACACTTTAGAATGCAAACGAACAGTAAACGTCCTTTTTTTTGTAAAAAATGTTGAGATAAAGTAAATCAAGGATGAAATATCCCATAAGTAACTTTTCTACAAACAAAAATGCAACAGTAATATTTAGGAGCTTTTTTAAAAGTTTAAAACAATGCTGTCGAAACAGTTTTATACTTTTGAGTAAAGACAAACAAATTATGTATTATCTATATGATCTTTATACCTGTACTTTACTCTTTTCAGATAAAGTTAGTGAAATCCTTTATAGAGGATTATTATATTTTAATTTCGAAACGTATGTTTGTTTGAAAACTCAGACGATAAAGCTATTGAATTGAAAACTCTGTAACTGATACCTGTTGTGATGTAATTTGTATATCAATTTAATAACGATAAGATTCCTTGGAAAAAACGCAGATATCGAAACAAATACGTAGTATATACTGTTGTTATTGCTGCATATTGACGCATTCTGAAGATATCTCCTGCAATTAATATATTTTGCTTTTATACCAGTCCCCTTTGTAAATGATTAAAGTAAATAAAAACGCTACTTGCTTCAGATGTTAAACTATTGTCGAATAAATTAAGTACGGGTGAATTCAACAAATGAGCTAGTAGTAGTGTAAACAAACTTTCAAAAGTGGTTTTTCTATAACAATTTTTTGTACCAAGCGCACGAGTGGGCTATTGAAATGTTAAAATAAAAAATGACAAGCTGTCACCCAGCCGTGAAAAATGACGCTATTGAATTTGGATAATTTGAAACGATCGTCACTCAGACCTAAGAGGTTTTAGTGCACCTAAAATTAATGAGACAGTCACGTGGGACAACTATGAGCTTTTGTTGTACAAAATTTCCGCTGGATTGTGGCCCTAAAATGAAGACATATTTGTTAGTTTATTTCCTTTTTTTCTGTACAAGAGACTTTTAAATATATGTAGTTACTAAAAATTTATTTATTTAGTATTCCGGTAAAATATCTAGTTACAGGTGACTAAAAATAAATATAATACAAGAAATGCCAAATGCTTGGTTGTAACGTAATGATGATACAGTTGCACGAACGGAACAGATTTTACCAAAATAAATAGTAGAAATAAAACGACAGCCCCCACAATCTTGTAACAAAGCTACGGTGGTGGAAGAGAAACATGATTGCTTTGGTGGTCGTAAATATGTCGTGAGCCTACGAACTATTTACTTATTTATAGCATTTAAAATAAACGTCTGATGTATAACAATAGTCCCTAGAATACAGGGGAAGTCAATTACTTGAAACGTTTTTTTTTTTTTTTTCAGTAAAGATTTTCTTACCATAAGGATTTATTTGTCATGAACTGTGATACTTTTTGTAGGATAACTCGAAAATTATGTTGATATCGCCTGTACTTTAGATAGCGAGACGACTGAGGACAAAAACGCCTTAGCCTAAACATCGTGAACTAATTTGCAAGTGTATACAAAAACATCTGGAGTAAATGCCATACCAGGCCAAGTTGTGGAGTTTTATTTTCTTTGGAAGGAAACTAAATTAATTTATGTTGTTTGCACGGCATGCAGCACGTTGTTACGTATTTTACAGCGTATTGTCTTTATCTAAATGGCAAAATTAAAGGCGATATAACTTAATTTCATATTTGCTTTTCAAAAAAATATTTAAAACACGAACTGTTTGTTGCGGAATGTTAGAATTTAATGAAAACAGATTAATTATAAGTAATTAATAAAACGAGATCCCAAGAACCGGGCAAAAATCACATGTTAACTACTTTCGTTTCTAAGAACTCTATTAAACAATCTAAGGTCAAATGGCTCGGTATTATCAGAATGACTGGAATTGCCTTCCTTGCTTTTAAAAAATCCGATAACAGTAACAATGGCCGCTTCTTTGTAACACGGAATTTCTTACTTAAAAGCTTACTGAACTTTCTCAATTTGTTACATTATTACTAAAATATCACTTAAATAAAATACTATGTTTATAGAAATTGTTTTATATATTTTAGAAATGAGGCATGGACATTTCTGTTGTCGAGCAGCTTATACTTCTTCACGTAAATTTACATCCGGTTCATAAAAAAAAACTGCATTTTACTATATACGTTTTAAAATGTTGGCATTGAACTTTTTACATGGTATCTATTAAAGCATCATCCATCAGTTTATATCTATTTATGCATCAATAAAGTGTTAGAGAATTGTTATTAATTATTATGAATACTCGTTTTAATTTAATAATAACGCGGCGTTCAGAAACTTGCTGCAAAATATTTAGGATATTTTTACATATTTTGATACGCTGATTTTACATAAATGTGATTTATATTATTATTGTTGTCGCCCTTCATATGAATAAAATAAGGCAGGAAAATGGGAAATAATTGGTTTTAATATTGGATGTGCAGTATATTACAGCCTTCTGGTAAATAAACTGACGTTATCTCTATTAAACAAATAGAGTACTTCGAATAAATATTATTGAATAAAGCTAAGGTTTATTTACTTGCATTTTAACCAGACCAGATCTGTGCATTTGGTACCAACGATGATTTTTTTTTGGTAGCTCAGTGATCGGTAATGTAAGCTCATCCTGTAGAAATTTGTTTGTCTTGTCCATTTAACACCGGTAGATGTACAGTGACATACATAGCGCCATATGCGCAGCAAAATACCAAAACATAAGAAAATTTGTCAGATAAACGAAAGAAGCAAATGTGTAGTGATTTGCAGAAACTTACAAGTATGATTTTCTATTAACAAACATTGTGCGGTAGTCACAGTGAGGTCAATCTGGAGGGGGGGCGGCAAAACATTGTCCAGCTTTCAGCCACTCGGAAATCTGCTAAGAATTTTGCAAATAACACCAATCGACAACTTTTTTAACACAAAACGCGCACATGTCGCAAGAAGTACCAGCAAAAATGGTCCGTTGATTGAAAAATCGGGACAGATACCTTGAAATGAACGAGATTATCGAACGACCTTGAGGGTAAGATCGTAAGGTTGTTGGAATATAAACAGACTGTCAGTCGTACCGTGTACCACGGAACTTCAGCGCGAACGTACCAAGACAGACTAGTGGGGTTCTCTTGAGAACACTTACTTAATCTTAGGACTTAAAAACTTTACTTAGCTACTTGACTATCAGGCACTACGCACGCGCACGGAAACAGGTTATACAGATTATGTTAGACTAGTATAATAATTATTATTTTCTATACGATTTCATAGTTTAGAGGTTCAGGTAGGTGGGCATAAGCCAATGACACCTTTTTAAATACTTTCTTGTTTTATTTATATTGTCCATTATGTTTACCCCTCGCATTCGCCTAAATCGTAAAATTGGTATACCTACATTCAATTTACAGGATGGAATACGTCGAGTTTGTTACATAATTAATACAAAATCTGTCGAGTCGTCCTTAAAAGATTACTTCTATTTGGAAACTTGATGGAGCTATTATGAAAATTATGAATAATAGATTTCTAAATAACTGTATTATCTTCGCGTTACGCACTCTTGGCGCCATCATGAAAATTTAATACCTGTTAACACACACAGCGTTCTTTTTTAACAGCTTTGCTCACCCAGTATTGTATTGCAGTGAAATATTAAAAATTAGAAATTGAAATTAATTTCATTGAAAGCTTAGTGTTTTTTTAAGGCTGCAAAATCTTGTTACTTGAAAATATGTTTAAGGTAAAGGGAAATGTACTGTTTCAGCTGGTTTGAATAAATTTGAATTTTCTCGTTAATAACCAGATTGCAGCTTTATTAAAAGTCAAAGGTTGGATTGTTTTGATAAACATCTGCGACATGCATATGTGGATGCGATTGTTTGCAAGGCTGCAAAATAAATGTAAAATCTTCCCATCTGCCTGCTTTAAGGAAAACAAATCGTCGCGTGTTTTAAAAAAATTGGTATGGCTGTACGGAATTGCAAATATTGAAATAATACGTGAGTGTAAACACGTTTATGGCAAGATTACTACTATCTCGAGCTCTCCTAAATGGGCAAAAATTTTATCGCCTTTTATCAGTAATAATATTAATGTAGAGGTAAATTTTCAAAAACAGACAGCGTGACTCTAACCTTCTAAAAATAATTCCTTATCTGCCACGTAGCAATAAATCATCGAGTTAAAAAAATTGTTGTCGATCCCTTTTTGCAATTATTTTTTACCGTATGGCTGTGTCAGAAGTCATAAATGATAAATAAAGCTTTCATGTCACAATTTGAAGGAACACACTGCTTAACCATGCACAGCGTGGCACAACTGAATGTGTTTTGCTGTATACGCCAGGCAAATACTAAACAAAAACAATTTGAAATGTCGTATAGAAAGGCTTAAAGGAGCAAACGTTGTACTATGGCGTGTAAGTCCCATGTAACAATTACGGAAAATCGTTTGATATTCTTTGTAGGTAGGTATTACAGGTGAAATAGAACTTGTGTGATACGATTTTGTTTATATGTACATGCAGGAGCACTTACATAACATTAAAACCCCATTTTTTCCCGCTCTATCTAGGAAAAAATGGGAATGACTTAAGTTTTGGTAAATTTTGTTTCGATCTCAAAGAAATATATATATATATATATATAAAAACAATTGAATATTGCATTTAGGATATATAAACCAAGCTTCTGTTTTCTTTAATGGACACCCTGTATATTTGTCGTATAAAATTAAATTATTACTATTAAATTTACTAAATAGATCTTTAAACATTTTTGTGAAGGCTATACCTATATATTTTTCGCCATTTTTGTTCATATAAATTATACAGACCGACAAAATGTGAGTAACCTTACCCAGAAACTTTGCATTCCCGATGGTTTCCGATCCGCTAAATCCGAATTCTAATTATTTACGTAATGTTTTCGAGATATCCTAACCTAAAAGTGCGAAACTCGTTTTGGCTCCGAAACTACTGCTCTTCAGAATCCATTTTGAATCGTTCGAAAATCTATTTTCCTTTCCGAAAAGTCGTTTGGCGTAGGTATTCGTTAATATTAAGAAATTGAATAGTATCAGGTGACATGAAAAAAGAGAGGAATCAAATAGGCTCTTTTAGTGTGACGTCACATATTTACGCAACCGGCAACAAATTGTCATAGTTGAAATTGTACAGAGAATCTGACCCTTGTGTACTATTTACAAAGATACTATAAAAATGATCAACTTCAAATTAATTTATTTTTACAAGTATTTAAGAACAAACACGTGTTTCGTAAAATAGATACTCTAATGTGCTTAAAACTTACAAGAAACGTTATAAAAGAATATTCCTAAATTGAAATAAAGTAAAAATTTAACATTAGCCGTGCTGTTCCTAATGCGCATGCTCGGGAAGAATAGCCTCATACGCAGGTGAGCTCTTGTTGATAATATGTTAAAGCTGTCATCATGCGTATTTTCTCTTGTTTTGTACTGTGTCAGTATGTTTAACGAGTGTTTTTTCATCAAGTGGTTTATTATAGACGTACTCTTAACCATAACCAATCTTTCCTTGACTGATATCCTGTTGCAAGGCTACTTCGCTTACATGAAATTATCTTTAATGAGCATGCTCAGTATCATCGATATAATTTTAATTTATTAATTACTCTAAAAGTCAATATTCTAAAAATTTAAATAAGTATATAAATTAGGGTGGCCCAAAAAAATTTTTTTTAAGAGTCCTCAGAAAATCAGCTCAAAAACAATTTTTTAGAGGTCGCTCAAGATTTTTAAAAATTTCCAAAATCGTCAAATATTGATTTTTTTTTAAATTTTTTTTTCTCGTTATTTTATCATTTTCTATCGATATTTTAATTTCTAAAGGTCACTCATAATTATTTTAACTTTCAAAGTAGTATAGGTACCTATGTTTTCGAGCGACCTCTAAAAATAAATATCAACGAACTAATAATTTTTTTTTATTGAATTTGATGAACAAAAAAATAGAAATACACTTAAATTTTAAAAAATAAAAAGTTTGATACTCAGTGCGGTAGTAAATTTTGCCTAGAGAAATTTTGTGTTTCGTGATTTATTTCTATGCTTTTGTTCATCAAATTCAATAAAAAAAATGATTAGTTCGTTATCGTATATCGATTTGAAATTTTCAGAATCGAGATTTTTTTCAACCTAGAAAATATAATCTGGTTTCTTATTTAAAACTTTGTGTCGACAAAGTTGTCTTATAATTACGATACAAGAAGTTATCAGTAATTAAGAATTTAAAATCTGTTCAAACTTAATTTTCATTTTTAGGTATAGTATTACTTATTTTATTAAAAGCGTTGTTTCTGACTGCACCTATATTTCTCATGTACCAAACTAGTGATTGTTATGAAATAAAGTGATAAATATAAATCGCTAATTAATTTTGTGTCACCCAGTTCACATAATTTAATACAAGGCTTGTTCAACAGACTCCAATCAGATTCAACTTGGAAACAAATGTAACGCATGAGCTTTTTTCATTTATTTCTAATGTAGCTCAACGGTGATGTAATGAATTTCCAAGTTCATGCAATGGCAATTGTCAAGTTTAAATAGACATTGATTTTTACTATTTCTTTAATCGTAAACATTTTTTTCAAGGGTCTTGTACAGGATATCAAATTTTGCTCATTGTATACAGTGTGTTCCACTTACAATGGATACAGAGCCATTACTTCCTTCACAAGAGCGATAAAGTAAAAAAAATACTATTATTTAAAGGTCATCTTTGGGTATTATGTGTAGTGTCGATCAAACCGCGACGTTACCAGAACAAAGAAGCAAAGAATTGAGTAATTTTATAGTGTAAAATTTCATTAACAAAATTGAAATATTGCAGTGCAGGTAAGAGTTATTTTTGTGATTGTGATTGACAGTTTGCTTTGTTTGCTTTGCCTGTTTCCATAGAGATATCATATGATGTTTATTCTCAGTGTTTTTTTTTTCTATCTTCCTTGTTATGGAAATTATGGCTTTGTATTCGTTTGAAGTTAAATACACTGTAGATGTAATTACGCCAGTCAAACATATTTGCGAGTATACTATTATAGTTCGTGCTGTATATTCGGGGTGAGATAGTCACTTTAAGGGACAGTTTGTTACTATTAACTTTTTTAACGCAAAAAGTGCGTTTTTAATCGAACGCGCCTGGTAGTCGTTCGTGTATAGATTAACTGAGTTCATGGAGTACAGGTTCCGACTCACGTTGTACTTCTTATTTCATCCAACTGGTTTGTTTTTTCCAATCCCACGTCCGATCGCGACAGCCAACACATGGCACAATTAATAACCATATTGTCGCAAAATTACGGTTTTTGCCTACTTGCTCCACTACGACCGGCGCTCAGGTGTAACAAAACCACTCGCGGTACCTACGGTCACCCCCTAGAGGAGGCTGTTTTCCCCGAAGAAGACGCGTACGTGGGCGACCTGATTCTTTGACCTTTCTCGCGGATTTGTCTGCGTTAATTTTTATCAAGCCGCAAGATTCGAGAATCAAGAGCGTACGCGTACGTGTAAAAAAAAAGTGATTAATTATTCGTTTGCTCTAGAAAAAATGGCACACATCGCGTCGGTATTTGGCCATTGCAAACATTTCGTTGGGTTGGGGGTCAAGATGAATGTGATCCGCCATAGAATCACACTAGCGGATTGTGGGTCAAAATAAACGATAACTGTAAAAACACTTAGAATTAATATTGATTCAAATGAGACTAGTTTCTTCGCTCTGATATATCGTAAAAAGCTGTTTGTTTTCTTCTAATAATATTTGCATAGTGGCGCCTTGTTTGTCAAGGCTGTTAGCTGTTGTTTTTAACGACAATCCAAGTACATGGTGCGGTGGATGTAAGAATGGTAATTGAACTTTCCTGGATTCGATAATTCCCTGTTCAATGCACTAGGTACTAATGCTTTATTACATTGATATTTAAAAACTTGTTTGCTGTTCAATACCTCAGTAAAATGCTTGGTTAATAATAAAAAAAACCTGCATTAAAAGAATAAAATGCACTGGGTTTGTTTAATTTTATAATTCATCCCAACCTATGTGAACCTGGCACCCGAAATTCAAAATTTTTTTG